CTGGCACTGTCTCTGAGTTTTTTGCTTAAGACTCACCCTAATGATCTCCTTTACCATTACTTATCTCTCTTTGGTAGTGGGCTTGAACTCTGGGTCTGGGTGCTCTTCAGCTCAAGGCTAGCACTTCAGCCATAACGCCACTTCCGGCTTTTTCTGTGTATGTGGTACTGAGGAATTGAACCCCGGGCTTCATGCATGCTAGGCAAGCACTCTACCACTAGGCACATCCCCAACCCTACTTATCTCTTTAAAGGCAACACAGTGTATCCAGAAAACGTCAGATTCTTGGATACTGAGGCTAGAACCTCAGCATAGGAATTTTTGGGACACATGCAGAATTCAGCTCATAATTCCACCATACTACACTGATTATTTCTAGTATTTTTGACCCACATTGCTGTTAAGATTGAATTCAATTATTCTGGTATGATTTATGAAGGACTGAATGATAGTACCAAAGCTAATATTTCCAGCATCTCACACCATTTTCTTACTTGTGTTCAAGCATTCTGAATTTTTTCTCTGTACATTGAATGTAGAGCTCTTTAACTTTCATTTATCTTTAGCTTTCACACAGGAGTAGTAGTTGGAGATCAACCCAAGGCCTTGCACATGGAAAGCTATTACTGTACTCCTGAGCTACATTCCATCTGTATACATTGTATTTTTCTTCCCTAGAAAACCATTTTCTATTCTTCATTAAGTCACTTAGTAATTAGTCCTCGTGTGAGTTTTGATGTTACTTCATTCAGAAATCCTTCTGATATCCTGTAAATATTGATTAAGTCTCCCATTCTTATGCATCCATTGCCTTTTTGTTTTTTGGTCGATTGTGGGGCTGTTGGGCCTGGGAGCTGTCCCTGAGCTCTTCAGCTCAAGGCAACGGCTCTGCCACTTGAGCCACAGTGCCACTTCTGGTTTTCTGGTGGTTAATTGGAGATAAATAAGAATCTCAAGGACTTTCCTGCCTGGTCTGACTTTGAACCACGATCCTCAGATCTGAGCCTCCTGAGTAGCTAGGATTACAGGCATAAGCCACCAGTACCCAGCCATTGCTCTTTTGTAAAGTTTTTTTTTTGTTGGTCGTGGGGCTTGAACTCTGGGCTTGGGTGCTATCCCTCAGCTCTTCAGCTCAAGGCGAGTGCTCTACCTCTTGAGCCACAGCACTACTTCCTCAGCCATTGCTCATTTAATTGTCTCTCTTTGCTGGGATATAAATCCCATGAAATCAGAGATTAATGTTGTCTGAATCTAATCTGAAAATAGAACCATACAGTGTTTTAAATTAATATAAAGAAGTATTAAGATTGTAGATGTGGCTTAAGTGATAAAAGAGCTTAAAAGCATCAATATTACATCCCCTAATCCCCCTGAAAATAAAAATATTAAATTAAGATAAAAGTAGTCATAGAATTAAGGAAACTTTTCAAGGTACCTTAGGATTGAGTTTCTAAAGTTAATATATTTGGAAACTGGTAACGTGCCAGGTCCCCTCTCAAAGGCTAGGGTTCAGATCTCATTAAAGAAGGTGAAGTGAACCTATGGAATGACAGAACGCGCAAATTTGCTGTGCCAGAGATGATCAGAAATTAAATGACATAAAGAAAACCAACCATTATGAGTGAACTGTAAGTGATGGATATCAGACATAATTTTATGCATTTGGAGTGTGTTCTGCTAGAGTTAGAGTCCTGGAGGACATGGGCTCCCTATTAGGCAATTGTAGCATCTATCTAGATTATAGAAGACAAACTTGAGAAAAGGTAAAGGACTGGAGGGAATTATAATGCTCATGTGGGCAGGAGGCCTGGAGTGTAGGCTTTCTGTACTGAGATGACTGAGAAAGTTTGATCAAAAGCCATGTTAGAACTGTGAGATAATGTGGTTGCCCACTCTGCTTTTTATCATGTTTCAGTATAAAACATGTATGTAATGCTTCCTTCATCCTGTAAAGTTCCTCTAGTGCTTTCCATTCAGAAAACTTAAAATATGGTTACTTTAAAGAAGACATGTTTGGGGCTGGGAAGGTGGCCCAGTGGTAGAGTGCTTGCCTTGCATGTATGAGGCCCTGGGTTCGATTCCTCAGCACCACATAACCAGAAAAAAAAAAGCCAGAAGTGGCGCTATGGCTCAAGTGGTAGAGCGCTAGGCTTGAGCTGAAGAGCTGAGGGACAGCGCCCAGGCTCAGAGTTCAGGCCCATGACCGGACCCCCCTCCCCCCCAAAAAAAAAGAAGACGTTTATAAAAATTCCATTCATGCTAGGCCTTGTAGTTCTCACTTATAATTTCAGCAACTAGGGAAACAGAAATTGGGGGATCAAAGTTTATGGTCAGTATAGGCAAAAAGTTAACAAGAACCCCATGTCAACCAACAACTGAACGTAGTGGTATGTGTCCAGTCTCCCACTAACATATGAAGTATAAATAGGAGAATTGGAGATAGCCCAGGCACAAAATACCAAACGCAACCAAAACAAAATGGGATATGTACATGACTCAAGTGGGAGAACACTTACCTAGTAAGTAGGAGGCTCTATGTTTAAATCTCAATACCACAAAAAAATTCATTCATTATTCCAGAGCTATTGAAAGGTGAATTTGGAACTGAATGATAGTAAGGCAATATTTGACCTTATTCCTTGGTGATTACTAAACTTTCATGTGTGTATTTCTACACATACTTCTTTTTTCTTTTTCTTTACCATAACCCAAAAGTTCTGCATTACTGTTTAAAGCTACACATTTATCCTATTTGGAGTTGTAATCCTCACTTTTCTCCAAAACGTGAAGACTCACAGTCTAATAATTGCTTTATAGTAATTATCTGAAATTCAGTCATTATGCCATAATAATTAAATATCCTTTTACCTAAAGACCAAATTGTAAAATTAACCCCCAATAACATAAATTTTAAAAATTGAAAGGAGGAGGGAATGTTTAGTTTATATGCATAAATACATGTACAACAAATCATAAGAAAATAATTGAAGCAACTGCAGTTCTGGATTCTATAGTTGGTCATGAGATTGTAGTTGGTATGTCTGACTTCCTTCTTCTTCTAGCCATTTCACATTTGTCTTACTCCAAGTAATAAGAGTGAAGCAATCTAAATCTTCATTACTAAGGAGTCTGAGTCTTAGATATCCTAGTTTGTTTTAGATACTGCCAGAGTTACTAAGTACCCAGAGAATTCCTTGTATTACAGTCTTTGCTTCCACTGTATATAGCAGCATAATTTCCCATTGGTGATCAGAACTGATCACTCCACCTAGGTACCTTTTTGTCTGTTGGTTCAGTAGCATAAATAAGTAATTTGTAGAGCCAGTTGGCAGTATTAGCTTCTAGTTCAGAAGAACATTTGTTGTGTATTTTGGTGAAATCGTTAACCTTGTAGAGACTAAGATCGCTAACAGATTTTAAAATTGTCCAGCTAAAGTCGTTTTGGCCTGGTAAATGTGATAGTGACAGGAGCCACTCCTATCTCTTGATTTCTAGACTGGCTCATATATTCTGTTTGTGGCAGAGACAGTGTCACATAATGGTCTCTGATTCAAATTTCGTTCTCTAAGAGTCCTGTCCTTTCACAATGTTGTCTTGCAATTGACTCCACAATTAAGTCCTTCAACAAGCCATTCTGCTTTCCAACTAGGTCCAGACACATCCAGATAATGAGACCTTTGTCAAGACTAGTCGGATTCAGAGTTCATAGGGCTATCAGTGGTCTTCTTTTGCTGTGAAGTGAGTTCCTTAGTCAGATACTGTACTGTACAGAATGCCAATGTGGAGGATAAGATGTTCTATCAGTTCACAGATGGTGATGCTGACAGCATTATGGGCAAGAAAAGTCAAAGTCATAGGTAGAATATCTGTGTACTCTAGTGAAAACCCCTATCTACTCTTTGTGATGGAAGAAAATCCATTGTCAGCAACTTGGCATTGGGTCGCAGGCTAGTACCTCCTGGGGAATGGTGCTAGATTGCAATTAGTGTTGGTTTCTGTTCTTGACAAACTAGGCATTCAGTAATAGGGCTAGCCAGGTCAGCTGTGGTAAGGGAAGTTTATGCTGTTGTGTCCATGTATAAACTTCTTCCTTGAACTTGGTACTTTGGTCTTGAATATACTAAGGAAGGACTAGAACAACTGAAAAGAGATAACTCACATACATTCATAGAATGTATTATTTTATCTTCTAGAATGTTGAGTCTACCCTATAATGGATATTCTTTAATGAGCATTCCCATGGGACAAAGTTTTCAAAGTTTATGCTTATTCTTAGAGATCCGTTCATATATTTTCCCCCAAAATGTCTTTGTTTCTAGTTTTTCAGCACTGTTCAATTTCCTGATTATTAAGGAAAAGAATCAACTATTTCCTATAAATTCATTCTGTGGTCACCTCTCATTCCAGACATGGTAGATAACCAGATGCAATGTTGAAAAAATGAACATGCAAAAAGTTAGAAGAAATAGTGATAGACATAAAAGAGGAGTTTCCTAGCATAAAAGCAATGAGAGAAATTATATAAGAGGAATCTTGGGGCTGGGAAGGTGGCTCAGTGGTAGAGCGCTTGCCTTGCATGCATGAGGCCCTGGGTTCGATTCCTCAACACCACATAAGCAAGAAGAAAAAAGCTGGAAGTGGCGCTGTGGCTCAAGTGATAGAGCGCTAGCCTTGAGCTGAAGAGCTGAGGGACAGCACCCAGACCCAGAGTTCAGGCCCCACGACCGGACCAAAAAAAAAAAAAAAAAAAAAAAAATAGGAATCTTTAAATCACAGTACTGTAAAGAAAATAAAATTAAGTTTTGGGAAAATAATTTGAGAATTAACATTTTTAATTTGTTTGGATAATTTAAAAATACTTTCAAGAGGGGTAAAACAGTTATTTCCATCACCGGTAATTATTAAAATGACTAAACTTGGGGCTTTGAGGTTTAATGTGAAGGAATTAGAATTAGAAGTGATTACATTAGTTATTTTCTCTATTTAATTTTTTTTAACAGCCACATCCTCTTCTGGAGTTTCTGCACACTCTCCATCAGTTATTGTAGCTGTGGTTGAAGGAAGAGGACTTGCCAGAGGTGAGATAGGAATGGCAAGCATTGACTTAAAAAGCCCACAGATTATATTATCTCAGTTTGCAGACAACACAACTTATGCCAAGGTAAGACCCAACAACCTTAAAAAATGATTCATCCTAGGGTGTAGTTTGCAGATATCCATGTCCATGCTTTGCTAATTAACTTAAAGTTATATGTTCCAGTATGATTACATTACATTAAATTAAACCTATTTTATACCTGATTTTTGTTGTTAAATATATTTTATCCTAAACATATAAGCCGTCTTATTTGAATACTCAAAGTTACTGTTAATATTAATTTATGAAATTACAACAGCCAAGTTATTCACTATGATCACAGAAACTTTGAAGTTAAATGATTTTCAGTTGCAGAAGTAACATTCAGGATTTATTTGTTTAAAATCTTTTTTGAAAAATTATAAACAGCAATAGTTTGAATAATGATATATTTAAAGCCACAAAGTAGTCAATAAATATAAATTCTAATCTAAAAGTCTAGTAAAATAGGTAATAAATGATAGAGAATCCATATTCTTAACTTGACACTCTTGATAAACTTTAAGCAAAAGGAAATATTTTAGGTAATAAGAAATTTTCTCAGCATTGATAAGTTCAACTTAAATATTCCCAGACTCATTTCAAAGATGAAGTATGTGATAATCCTATTTCCAGAGGATTGTTTACACTGAAATTGTATTTTTATTTTATTTTCCTAGAGTTGTGAGAAACTAGTATCTTAGATCAGAGATAATTTAGTATCTCTACTTGTTACCATCACTTCAATTATTTTTGGAGGTGGGGCTGTGGCTTAGGTGGTAGAGTTCTTGCCTTGAACTGAAGAGCCCAGGGATAGCACCCAGGCCCAGGGTTCAAGCCCTGGTACTGGCAAAAACAAAACAAAAACAAAAACCCAAACAAACAATTATTTTCCCTTTATTTTATATTATTCATGGTTTTAGGCCACTGGCTTATTGTTACGGAAATTTTTGTGAACTATTAGGTAGAGGTAGTCTTCTCTTAATCTATTTTATTTTATTTGTATTTTTTTTATTGTAAAGAAGGGTTACAGTTACATGAGTAAGGTAATGAATACATTTCCTATTGAGCACTGTTACCTTCTCCTTTTTCCCCCCTACAGTCACTTCTCTCCCCACCGCCCCAACTCCTTTCTCCCTCCTCCCCTGAAGTTGTAAAGTTCATTTTCAACATAGTGTCTTGTGCATCCCGTTGTTACAATGGGTCAATCTGTATCCTTATTTCAGCATTTTGTTATTTCCCTTTCTTCTAATCTATTTTAAAAAGCTGTTTGATCTAACTATAGACACTTAAAAATATAATAACATATGTTCTAAGAAATTTTATTGTTTATTTTTCTCAGATTCTCCTTTATCACTGACCATTACATAGGCTTCCTTTCCCTAACAATTTTTCATTATAAATATTGACATCATACATTATCTCTGAGTATTTTACAATTTTTGTGTAATTTCTCAAGAAAATGAAAAAAATAAAATTGTTAGACAAAGAGTTTCTGTGCTGAAAAGAGCTCTAAAGAGTGTACCTTATTTTGTAAAAAGTCAGTCTGAGGCATGAGGTAAATGTTTCTCATCTGTGTTTCCGTTCATTTCCATTTCTAACTTGTATGAGCATCGAATACTGATTGAATTAGACATTTTATATTTTTCATGGAGATAAATAGAAGAATTTATTTAAAAAAATCTTAATTTGGGAATATGTATTTGGTAAGTTCAAATTCTTGTTTCTAAGCTGTTATAAACTAGTGTAAGTATAAAATAATGTTTGCTTATGATAGTCTTTTCTATTTTTAGTTATATAGAAATGTATGCTTATCATCACATGAACCATCTAAAGTCTACAATTAGGACTGTTGTAATTTTATCTTTGAATTATTTAAGTAATTTCAGAAAAATACAGAACTTTTAGAGACTATGCTAAGCTTACATTTAACAAAATGATTGAACAATTTCAGGTGATCACTAAGCTGAAAATTTTATCACCTTTGGAAATAATAATGTCAAATACTGCATGTGTTGTGGGAAATTCAACCAAGTTGTTTACTCTGATCACAGAAAATTTCAAGGTAAATGATTTTCGTTTTCAAAAGTAAGATTCAATATTTGTTTAAAATCCATTTTGAAATATTATATTGTAAAGAGCAATAGCTTGAGTAACTATAAGAAGTCCTGAAATGCTCAATAAATATAAATTCAAATTAAAATACTACTAAAACAGGTAATAGAAATGATAGATAATTCACGTCCTTGGTTTGGTACCCTTGATCTACTTTAAGCAAAAGGAAAAAATATTTGAAGTAATAAGGATGTTTCTCAGCATAGATAAAGAACAAACATGTAGAAAAAGCATTTTCCTTAGTCATAGCTTTCTGGAAACTACTCTGCTGTCAGACAAGTTAAAATTGAAGTTCTCATAAGGGACAGAAGCTATTAATACATGCTTTTTCCTTTAGGTAATTTCATCTATATTACAACTTTCTCTGTAACATATACTGCCCCACAGTTAGCTTGCAAGTCTATCCTCCATTTGTGGGATTGTGAACCATTAGAGCTATAGAACCCTCTCCAAAAAATGCTGTCCTTCTCAATAAGGGCTTTTCTTCTAATGTACTAAATTAATCTTTTCCTCTAGCAACTGTGCCTTGTAGAAAAGCACTTGGGTTCTAAACATAGTAGGCAGCATTGCAGTTTGAGTAGTTCCTCAGAATACACAATATTTTGTTATGTTTGTAGACTTAAATTTTATCATATTGGAACCAAACAGATTTAAGATGCAATAAGTGCCTTGCTTATTCTTTATGTAGTATCTGCAGTTATACAAAGTATCTTGTGGTGCTCTTAAAGATCTTACATTGTCTAGCTGTTTTTAACTCATTGCCAAAAATTGTCCCTATTCTAATTTCAATTATCTCATTATCACACAAGTTTTCTTATTTGTTCTCTTTTATTTATTGGCCTCACATTTCCTTTCATTACCCATATTAAGTATTCATTTCCAACTTTTAGTTTTATTATTTTGATTAGCCTTCTTAGTCTTTTGGCAGAAAAGACCTAGCAGAAACTTAATGGAATTCAAGCAGAAAGGGAAACTTGTTGACTTATGTAGCTGGGAGGTCTGTAGTTTGATAGATTCTGTCCCTGCAGTGAATTGATATTTTCATTTTTATAACTATCAGAGTAGAAAGATCTGTCCCTTCTCAATTATATTAGCACATACAAAACTTATTGTAAGAGCCAATATGATATTGCTGTAAAATAAAAACTTTCATGTTTAACTTTTATTACATCATCTAACTTGCAGTTAAATTTCATGAGAGTAAAGTCTGAGAGCTACCTTGTACTATAATTCACCTGTCAAGATAGATATCCATTCTTTTTATAAAATTTGAATATTTTTATTTAAATGTTGAACATGTTAAAAATTATACAATATTTATCTGTAGATTGTACAGAAGAATTTAGTGTGAATGAAAAAAATTTAGAGCACTTGCATTACACATATAATTTTACTTTGAAATTAAAAACTCTTTCTAGAATGTTAACTTCACAACTATCCAGAGGAAATACTTCAATGAGACAAAAGGATTGGAGTACATTGAACAACTATGTATAGCAGAATTCAGCACTGTCATAATGGAAGTTCAATCCAAGTGAGTTACTATTTATGGAAAGAGATAAAGCTCCAGTGTGAATTTCACAAGATAGGGATTTAAAAAAAAATCTATCTGCTCTTTGTTGTATTCCTGACATATAGAAAAGTGCTTGGTTCATAATAAACACTCTAATGATTGAAATAATAACACAATTAACTGATATTTATGCACAAAGTAGATACTGCTAAATTAATATGTATACAATCTCATCAGATTACTCAAGTTTATTGTCCTAATGATCGTAGTTCACTCTACTTGGGAGTGAAAAGCACTAGTAGCTACAATGTACTTGAAGTATGTAGAGTCTCAGAAGTGAGACACATTTGAAACTATTTCTTTCTTTTTTTTTTTTTTTTTGGGTCCAGTCATGAGGCCTGAACTCTGGGCCTGGGCACTGTCCCTCAGCTCTTCAGCTCAAGGCTAGCGCTCCACCACTTGAGCCATAGCGCCACTTCCGGCTTTTTTTCTTTCTGCTTATGTGGTGCTGAGGAATCAAACCCAGGGCCTCGGGCATGCAAGGCAAGCGCTCTACCACTGAGCCACCTTCCCAGCCCCATTTGAAACTATTTCTGTTATTTCATACTTTACTCCTAAAAGCAGCTACAGGCTGGGAATGTAGCTTAGTGGTAGAGTGCTTGCCTAGCATTCATGGAGCCCTGGGTTCAATTCCTCAGTACCACATACACAGGAAAAGCCAGAGGTGGTGCTGTGGCTCAAGTGGTAGAATGCTAGCCTTGAGCAAAAGGAGCTCAGGGACAGTGCCTAGACCCTGAGTTCCATTCCCAGGGCTGGCAAATAAATAAATAAATAAAAATAAAAACTTCTACTGAAGACAGGGATATTTTTGGAATAGAGATTTCTTAGCACAAGATTAAAAGATACATGTTTGTTAAAATACATTAGTTACATAAGAGAGTTTTTTATGACATTACCAGACGTACAATGTAAACAGACCCTCATTCTTCTTAAATAGATAACTTTCTTGTAGCCTTTTAGTTAATCACAGACTCTTCACACCAAGGTCACAATATACTTTCCTATATTTTGAGACCTACTGACTCTACGTGTGTGTGTGTGTGTGTGTGTGTGTGTGTGTGTGTGTGTGTGTGTGTGTGTGTGTGTGTGTGTGTGTGTGTGTGTGTGTGTGTGTGTGTGTGTGTGTGTGTGTGTGTGTGTGTGTGTGTGTGTGTGTGTGTGTGTGTGTCCTGGGGTTTGAACTCAGGACCTGGGCACTGTCTCTGAGGGTTTTTTGCTCAAGGCTAGCAGTCTACCACTTCAGGCACAGCTCCACTTTGGTGGTTAATTGGAGATAAGAATCTTATGATTTTCCTGCCAAAGCTGGCTTTCTACTGAGATCCTCAGATCTCAGCTTCCTAAGTAAGGAGGATTACGGGCATGAGCCATTGGCACCTGGTTCTGATTCTACTTTTTTTTTTTTCGTGCATGGGGCTTGGGGCTTAAACTCTGGGCCTGGGCGCTGTCCCTCAGCTCTTCAGCTCAAAGCTAGTGCCCACTTGAGCCACAGCATCATTACCGGTTTTCTAGTGGTTAATTGGAGATATGAGTCTGATAGACTTTCCTGTCCGGGCTGGCTTTGAACTGTGATCCTAAAATCTCAGCCTCCAGAATAGCTAGGATTACAGGCATGAGCCACCAGTGCCCGCCTCTGACTCTACTTTTAAAGTTTCAGACTCTCAACATTGCATAGTGAGAAAGATAAATGAAAACCTGATATAGATTGCTGTTGAATGTTGTCTTTTATCCCTTAGGTTACATATCTCAGTTTTTAGGGATTAGAGACTATTTCATTACTTCTTAAAAATTATGGACATAATGTATTTTGAACTTAAGTGATGCTATGCAAATAGTTATAATTTTTCTAATATTCATTAAAATTTTTTGATTTTCTAAAAATAGTGTTGTATCACTGGTCACCTTACAGGTATTACTGCCTTGCAGCTGTTGCAGCTTTGTTAAAATATGTTGAATTTATTCAAAATTCTGTTTATGCACCAAAATCGCTGAAGATTTGTTTCCAGGGTAGTGAACAGACAGCCATGATAGATGCATCATCAGCTCAAAACCTTGAGTTGCTAATTAATAATCAGGACTCCAGGTAAGATCATTCAGTTTTTCCTATGAAATGTATTCATATATTAGATACTATATTTTCTTATGATTATTTAAAAGTCTTTAAGATTGTTTGGTCAAGAAATGTTGAATAAACACTTTTGCTCTTTTTACCTTTGTTTTAAAAAATGTGTTTGTACTGAACAATGAAAAACAAAAACTCAGTTTTCAAAACTGGGTAATGGTCATTAATAGGAATTTCTCCAAAAAAGATAAACAAGTGGCCAAAGGACATGAAAAGATGTTTAATATCATTAGTCATGAGGGAAAGGCAAATTAGGTTAGATATCCCTTTTTACCCACCAGGATGTGGGCTGAAATTACTGATTTTCTGTTGTGTTATTATGACCTGGGGCTGGGAGGGTGACTCAGTGGTAGAGTACTTGCTTCATATGCATGAGGCCCTGGGTTTGATTCCTCAGCATCACATAAACAAAAAAAGCCAGAAGTGGCGCTGTGGCTCAAGTGATAGAGCTCTAGCCTTGTGCTGAAGAGCTCAGAGGTAGTGCCCAGGCCCAGAGTTCAAGCCCCATGACTGACAAAGAAAAAAAAGTTAATGACCAACTGTTAATTATTACTGTTTTACACTCAGTTTTACCTTTTCAGGCTTATATTTCATCAGTATTTATAAGCTTTGTTTGAGTTCCTGCTATATATTAGGAACCCAAGTGTTCCTAATACATAGAATTTTAAAAGACTCTACAGATTTTAAGATTCTTAATATAAAATTTAAAATTGGATAATATAATGACTAACATCTATTTTCCTCTTCCGTTGCATCCCAAATACAATGATATTGTGAACTTCTCTTGACTCAGAATTCAGAGTCTGAACCTGAAGTGATCAATCTGAATGATCAATTCCAGATCACTTCTTATTACTCCTGTGTCTGCCACTATAATCCAATTCTCTTTAGTCTTGTTGGACTAAGAAAACAGCCTCTTTAACTTGTCTTTCTGCCTTCTTCTTTCCCTACTACAATGAGTTATTCTCAACAAAACATCCTGAGGGTTATACTTTTAATTTAGAAATCAGGTCTTCTAACTTCTTTTAAAATCTGTCTTAAAATGGAATGCATAGTTTTCACAATGGCCTATGCGGACTACTATATCCTGCTCTCTGTTGACTTCATCTCTCTCCATTCTTTATTCTCTACTTGCCAAGATTTCCAACAGTTTCAATCTTTTTTTCTGGTTCTGGAGACTTTCTAGGCTCTCTGATACTTCTTTGGAAACCTTGGACAAATTACTTAGTTTCCTTGTGCATTAGTTCTTTTTTTGCAAAATTTAAATTTTATTATAAAGGTGAGGGGTTATGGTTATATAAGTCAGGTAATGAGTACATTTCTTTTTGAACAGTGCTACTCTCTCCCTCATTTTCTCCTATTTTTCCCCCCTTCTGACCTGCCTCCCCCCTAGGTTGTAAAGTTCACTTCCAATATGGTGTCTAGTGAGTATCACTGCTGAATTGGTTCACCCTTTGGCCCACTGTTTCTGTGGTTCCCCTTTTCCACCCCAAATCAGATAAACTTAAATACAAGACAAAAGGTACAGAAATTTAAAAAAATACAGTGATAAAAGGAAATAAACCAAAGGGGGAAAAAACAAAAGAAAAAAGAAATAACTGCAAAAAGTACAATAAAGAACCCCTTGTTTCCATTTCTTGGGTTCATTTCGATAAGCATCATTTTCTCTGGTTGTATGCACATAGCTATTGAGCCATTAGTTCTTTTAGTTATAAAGGGCTAATGAAAGCATTTACCTCATACTGTTGTTGGGATTAAATGAATTGACACATATAAAGTGCTTAGGGCAATACCTGGTACATACTAAGTGTTTAAAATGTGATGGCTTCTCATTATGTCATGATTTCCACACCATAGTCTTGTATTCTATCTCTTCTTTTGTCATTCGGGTTTTAATTCAACTGTCAAATAAAAATATTTTTCAGTCAGCCAAACTAATCTTCTGGTTAATTCTCTGTATGCAATTTTTGTTTTCTATTAACAGTTTCTGTACATTTAATTAAATTTTCTTTAGATTGTATGTTTATTTCCCCCTATTCTTTGAGTTGTCCATGCATAAAGAGTAAATTGGTAAAAAATTATTCAGCCACTAACTATACTTTTAAAAAGTCCATGAGGGTAGAAATCATGTTTGTCTTGTGTGTTCTTAGGTTTTGAGTATTATAAGAATTGAAGAAATATTCATTGACTATTAAAATGAATTTTCTATTTTGTACACATTATTATTGTCATACAAAAGTCTAATGAAAAATACATATTGACAGTAGTTCATTTCCTAAATTAATCACTTAGAAATTACTGAATTTTTTATTACCTTTTTTATTGTGAGAATACCATACTGAATTTTTTTACTTGTATTCTTTTCTAACGTCTTCATTTGGGACAAGATGATATGTTGAATACTTGTTTTTATAAATGTAAAAATCTCTCTCCTTTAAGGGTATATTATTGGTATCTTACAGTTACTGGTGGAATGGAGAACTTTATTAGTGTGAATATTGTAACTGATCTACAGAAAAAGTCATTTTGCATAAAGAGATACTGTTGATTCTTAGTAACGAAAATGTGGTTCATTGATTGACAGCATATTTGGGAATGCACTCCAATGCAGGCTTTCAAGCTTTAGGTTAATCTCACTGCATTAGAATTCCTATGTAATGTAGTATGTGTTTAACTCTAAGAATCACTGATAGAAGCTATAGGATGATTTAATTGCAACATTAAAATGCAGTCTCCTTGTATTTCTTTATGTATACATAATGAAATTCCCAATTTCTCTTTTCAAAGGAATAATCACACTCTCTTTGGTGTTTTGAACTACACTAAGACTCCTGGAGGGAGTAGAAGACTCCGTTCTAATATATTAGAACCGCTTGTTGATATTGAAACTATTAACATGAGATTAGATTGTGTTCAAGAACTACTTCAAGATGAGGAACTGTTTTTTGGACTTCAGTCAGGTAAATTAATATTGTCTACTTCTATAAATACAAACTATTAAACATACAGTCCGTTTGGTTGAGATACTTTTCTAAGTTTCTTAAAGGCTAGCAGTAAAGGTGTATATACTTAACATTTTTGTATGGAAATTATTTTTCTGAAAATTTCCTCTGAATTTTGTAATAAATAACTTCAGAGATATATTTTGATTTTTAATTTACTGTATAGTATTCTTTATTCTCTGGTTTCTTTTAGTTGCCCTTTATAATTTGCTTTATTTTATTTTATGTGGCCCTGGGGATTGAACTCCAACCCTTTTGGTGTTCGTTGTTTTTCAGACTGAGTTTTAAGGTTTTGCTTGGGTACAGTTCTTCTACATTTGGCCTTACATGTAGCTGGATCTACAAGCACACACCATCCCTTCCAACTATGTTGAGATGAGCTGAGCTCTCACTGTTTTTGCCCAAGCTGTCTATGAATCATGATCCTCTCAATGTCTTTGTCCTGAGTAGCTGTAATTACAGGTGTGAACCACTTCAACTGACTGACACTTGTAATTTTTTTTCTTAGTAATCTTCAAAGAAGAAAACATTTGTACAGACTAGGTAATTTGTATAAACTACGTAATTATTAACAGATGACTATTCACCATAGCCAAAATATGGAATCAGCTCACATGCCCCTCAGTGGACAAATGTGGTATATATACACAATGAACTTTGCTCAACTACTAGAATGAATGGTATTGGCGGAGTGCCGGCAGATCACACCTGTAATCCTAGGAGGCTGAGATCTGAGGATCATGGTTCAAAGCTAGCCAGGACAGGAAAGTCCACGAAACTCTTCTCTACACTTAGCCACCAGAAAACTGGAAGTGGTGCTGTGGCTCAAATGGTAGAATGCTCACCTTGGGCTGAAGAGCTGAGGGACAGTGCCCAGGCCCAGAGTTCAAGCCCCACAGCTGACAAAAAAAAAAAAAAAAGGAAGCAAGGAAGGAAGAAAGAAGGAAGGAAGGAAGGAAAGAATGAACAAAAGAAAGAACGAATGAACAAACGAAAGAAAAAAAGAAGGAAGGAAGATATTGTACTATTTGTAAGGCAATGGAAAAACTTGGAAAAAATTATGTTAAGTGAAGTAAGCCAAGTTCACATTTTTTTCTCTCATTAGCAGTAGATAAGAATGTATCTATAAATCTATAAGTAAACACACTGGGTGGCATGCAAGCAGTTCTAAATGAATTAACTGAATTATAATAGATGCTGTAGAGAGCTCAAATAGTGCAGTAACTCAAAGCCTAATGAAATAAGCATGGAACAATGGGTATTTCCAAGGGGGTGGGGCTAAGGCAGGAGGGACATATAATGTAGGGGAAAGAGAAAAAGAGTGCAGTCAAGAATTCATTGTATATACCACAAGATTAAGAAACACAAGGGAACCAAAGAAGTGAAGGACCTCTATGATGAAAACTTTAAAAACTTGAAAAAGGAAATACAGAACTTAGAAAGTGGAAAAAAACTCCCATGCTCCTGGATTGGAAGGATCAACATCGTGAAAATGGCAATAGTTCCCAAGGCTATCTACAAATTCAATGCGATACCTATCAATATTCCAACCTCATTCTTCAAGGAAATAGAAGAGGAAACCCAAAAATTCACATGGAACAAAAAAAGACCCCCAAATAGCAAATATGATCCTTAATAGAAAGAACAGTGCTGGAGGAATATCAATACCAAATTTCAATTTTTTTTTTTTTTTGGTCCGGTAGTGGGGCCTGAACTCTGGGCCTGGGCGCTATCCCTCAGCTCTTCAGCTCAAGGCTAGCGCTCTACCACTTGAGCCACAACGCCACTTCCGGTATTTTTCTTTTTGCTTATGTGGTGCTGAGGAATCGAACCCAGGGCCTCAGGCATGCAAGGCAAGCGCTCTACCACTGAGCCACCTTCCCAGCCCTCAATACCAAATTTCAAACTCTACTACAAAGCCATAGTAATCAAAACAGCTTGGTACTAGCACAAGAGCAGACCTCAGGACCAATGCAATAGAATTGAAAACCCAGAAATGAACCTAAAGACCTTTAGCCATCTAATCTTTGATAAAGGAGCTAAAAAAAATAGAATGGAAGAAACCCTCTTCAGTAAATGGTGCTGAGAAAATTGGTTATTCACTTGTAGAAAACAAAAGCTAGATCCTTATATAGCACCCTGCACCAGAATCAACTCCAAATAGATTAAAGACCTCGGAGTCAAAGCAGACACTGAAAACATTACAGGATGGAAGAGGAGAAACCTTAGGTCTCCTTGGCACAGGCCAAAATTTTCTTTAAAAAGACCCAGAAACACAACAAATCAAAGAAAGGATGGACAAATGCGACTGCATGAAATTGCAGAGCTTCTGCATGGCATAGCTAGCAAGATCAATAGAAAGCCCACGGATTGGGAGAAGATCTTCACTAGCCATACAGTGGTCAAGATCTCATATCTAAAATATACTTGGAACTCAAAAAATTAAATTCCCCAAGAACAAATCCTCAAAGAAACAACTGCCCAATAAATAAGTGGGCTAAAGACTTAAAGAGAAACTTCTCTGAAGAGGAAAGAAGGATGGCCAATAGACACATGAAATACTCAACCTCTCTAGCCATAAAAGAAATGTAAATCAAAACAACATTGAGATACCACCTCACCCCATTTAGAATGGCTATAATCAAGAACTCTAATAACAACAGGTGCTGGAGGGGATATGGACAGAAGGGGACCTTACTGCATTGTTGGTGGGAGTGTAAACTTGTTCAACCATTTTGGAAAGTAGTATGGAGGTTTCTCAAAAGACTCCACATAGAGCTCCCCTATGACCCAGCAATCCCACTTTTGGGCATTTACACAAATGATCACAAACAAGACCATACCAGAACAATTATGTTTATTGCAGCATAAGCCATATTTCCAACCAAGTCTCACAAATATTTTGCCTGGATTAGCCTACAACCACAATCCTTCCAATGTCAGCCTCTCAAGTAGCTTGAATTACAGATGTGTGCCACTATAATTGTTGTTCATTTGTTTTTTAAAAGCACTGGAGTTTGAACTCAGGACTTTGTGCTTGCTAGGCAGACTATCACTTGAGTCACACCTCTAGCCCTGGAACTTCTTTATTTAAATGTATTCATCCTCATTTTCTGACCATGGTACTCAATAGTTTTTGCCTAGAATATTTCCTCTTCCTTCCCTGAAACTTTCTCTTAAGCTACAAGTTTGTCCTTGTTGTTGTTGTTGGTGGTGGTTGTGGGTCTTGAACTCTGGGCCTGGGCACTGTCCTTCAGCTCTTCAGCTCAAGGCTAGTGCTCTACCACTCAAGCCATGGTGCCACTTCCGGTTTTCTGTTGGTTAATTGGAGATGAGTCTCACGGACTTTCTTGCCCAGGCAGGCTTTGAACCCGTGATCCTCAGTAGCTAGGATTACAGGCGTGAGTCACCAGGGCCTGGATACAGTTTGTCCTTTACTATTCCAGTTTAGATGCCACTTCTAGACACCTCTCTGACTACCAAGTGTGTGTTGGATATCATGTGATGGCATTTTTCCTACAAGTTTCCTGTAGTATTTTGTTAATGGTATTTATCTTGCTATATTATAAACACATGTTTTGTTGGATTATTTTAATATAAAGCTAGGCTATAACAAGTGTTCATATTTTTAAACTAATGACTTACTGTTGAACTGTATTGTTTTTGCCAAGATAAAGACTATCTCATATGATGGGACTTTAATTGGTTCTTTTATTTCAAGTACATGTACAAGAGAAGACAAAATAAATAGTGATTGCCATTAGAACTGTCCATTTTATCTCTTAAGGATCATATTTTGTATCATATATATTTTCAGTTGTACCATGAAACTTAAATACTCATGCTCTTTTTGTTTCAGTTATATCAAAATTCCTTGATACAGAGCAGCTTCTTTCTATTTTAGTCCAAATTCCAAAACAAGACACGGTATGACTACATATGCATTTTATGTTATTCTATGTTATATAACTTATCTTGATGTAATGTAACAGTGGGAAAAATGGTTTCAGAAAGTACCTGATATCTGGAGGATTTTAATGTTTTTAAGAAGAAATTTTAAAAATTTGTACAACACAAATTCTTTAAATAGTTGAGGAATTAGCATATTTTCATTAATCAATATTTAGAAAGTGACAGGTTTTTAAAACTTAGACTGTAAACAATTTGTATAATAGAAGATACAAAGAGTAGAGATTGTTCTCATAAATGACTATCATGGGAGAGGAAATGAGAGTACTGAGGGATGAAGATGATTAAAGTATGTGTTATGTATATATATATATATATATATATTTAGGTATATGTATGTATATTTATGTATATGTGTACACATATATACACACCCACATGATAACACAATGAAACCCACCGAACACTTGGAAAAGGAGGAGGAATTGAATTCTGTAGAGGAGGCCTGCTACCATCAGTCTGCTATCATGGGACTTGTAGTATTTTACTCCTTTTCCATTATTAATAACTATTCTTCGCCAATAAGAAACATGTGTCCTAATATATTGCTATATTTGATCTCTTTTTTATGTATGTGACCAATCTCTCACTGACACTCCCTTTTCCATGCAGATACCGTCTTTATTCTGCCTATATTCTAGTACCCCACATTGAATTAACTCTTATATAGAAATCCTTCTTTCTTCTCTTGCACTCTATACTACATGAAGTTTACCTCCTATTTAAAAGCTTTCTTCAGCCTACTTGGGATCCCAAGCCTATACTAGGCTTCCTTTCTCACCTTGTATGGATATTTTTGTGGGTCTGTGAGCTCATATACCCTGTGGCGCAGACTTCCAACTTGGGTATCCTCATTATGCTCCAGTACTCTCCATAAGCTGGCTTTTACTTTCTGTTCCACATCCAGGAATGCTTTCTTCTCCCAATGTACTTTCTGAAAATAACAGCTTGCACTGTGTATATTAAAATCAAGTAATTTCTGCATGTATTGAGATAGAGTCTTTCACTTTGCTTTTGAATATGCTCTTGCTAATCTGGTATGTAACAATGTTTTTGAAGTTATTAAATGTTTTAGAACTTTCAGAGACTTAAAGTTGGTAGGCAGAAATGAAATAGGTATCCAGATGTTTTATACTCATAAACTGACATATGTTGAATGGTAACCCATTTGTACAACTACTTAAAGAATGTAAAAATAGAATAAAATATGGATAAGCAAGTGATTGTACTTCCTGGCTCAGTCACTCCTTTTACTTATGCTCTAGATCCCTTGTCTTTTTGCCTATTCCTACACAGCAGTTTAGAGTCTGGCTCTAGCCCACTCTAGGTTTTTTGGCTTCTTTTTCTTTTTCTTTTCTGAATTTACCCTACTTTTGTTTCTACCACAAAACACCTTGTTTTTAAATGATATCTGTAATTCCTTTCTTTTAGCTCCTAACCTGTTATGATCACTGCCACCAATGAAGTCAAGGCCACCATCCTCAGTGGTGTTGGTCAGTGGTCTTTAAGGTGATCTAGCAGCAAAATTTCACACAGATGAACTCTTTTTTGGAGTGTTTTCCTCCTTTACTTTCCAGAAAAGCACCTCCTTTTTAATTGCTATTGACCTATTTCTTATCATCTTTAGAAATTTAAAAATACTGAATAATAATATACATTAAGAATTATATAAGCCGTGTGCCTGTGGTTCACACCTGTAATCCAAGCTACTCAGGAGGCTGAGATCTAAGGATTGAGGTTCAAAGCCAGCCCGGGCAGGAAAGTCTCATGAGACTCTTATCTTCAATTAATCACCAGAATACTGGAAGTGTCACCATGGCTTGAGTGGTAGAGCCCAGGCCTAAAGTTCAAGCCCCACGGCTGACAAAAACAAACAAGTAAAAACAACTATATGAAACAAAAACGCATTGTTCACTGGCTTATCAGAAAGTGAACAATAACCTAGGTAAGGAAACATATTGCCAGTAGTTCAAATCTTCCCTTCTCTTTACCCTTTAGTCTCTTCCTCCCTCTTTTTAATGACTACTTTCTTGTTTTCTTCATAATCTAGTTTTACCTGTTTTCCCAAAAATCTTTACATATAAAGGATCGCTGTGCATGTGTGTGTGTGTGTGTGTGTGTGTGCACGTGCGTGCGCGTGTGTGTGTGTGTGTGTGTGTGTGTGTTGATACTGGGGGGCTTGAACTCACCTCTTGCTCATCTTTCTATTGTTTTATTTTATTGTCTTCTGTGATTTGTTTAGCTTCACTTGTAGTTTGGTATCTTCTTCCACTTGTAGTTTGCTTTGGCACTGAGTTTTGTGGTATGGATGTTGCTCATGTGTCACCCACACCTTGTTGATATTCACTTTTGTGCAAAGGAAGTTTTCATATTGGAATCTGCTGAGTTTCTCTTTTGCGTACTTTTGCTGGTTAGAGTTGAGACCAAAGGGCATTAGGGAGATGATGTTCTTGGCAACAGCTCCTATCCTTTAGTTAATAGGAATTAGAGATTTAATTACCCATTTGGATAACATCTGGACTATATTTTATAAAACATTCTCTGTACTATTTACCAAAGGTCTCAGTGGGATTGAGGTTACAGTACCACACAAGGGTAGCTTGATCATTAATGCAACCTTGCTTAGTGTCCTTTTTTTCCCGTCTTACTTACTCTGTCTTACTTATTGCTGAAATTACTTGTCGGATAGATTATTTTCCTTCAAATTCTAGTTCTGAAAGATGTCCAGAAGAGTCTGGTTTGATTTATTAGTATCTTTTGATAAACAGAAAGTCTTAATTCCCCCCTCCTTTCAAGGCTGAGGATTAAACCATGTAAGTCAAGTGCTCTACCACTGAGCTACATCATCAGTGTAGCATTAAATTATTTTTTGAAAGTAGACGTACAAAGGAGTTTAAATTTCAAATGTCAGCTTATAAGTACAATTCTGACAACTACTTCATGTAAAGGAGTCTGGTTTATCATGGTTTTTTTCTTTATAGTTAGTGCTTGTCATGTTCTACTTAAGGAGTCTTTACCTGTCCCATACATCTTGATTGTACTCATGGACTGTAAGTTATGGAGGAGAGTGAATGGTAACTCAGATACAATGATGCCATTAAAAGAAGATTTTGATATCCAAGAGGAAAGGGCACAACCACACAAGGAAGTATCAGAGACAGAAAGAAAAGGGGGAAAGAAAGCAAACTTTTATCACCAGTGGTCAAGTAGAGATGACTCTAATAAGCAGCAACTGGACCATGATGTTAAAGTTTATGATTGAAGGGTATGTAGTATGATTGTGTGTGTGTGTGTGTGTGTGTGTGTGTGTGTGTGTGTGTGTGTGTGTGTATGTGTGTGTGTGTGTGTATGTGTGTGTGTGTGCATGCGCACACGCTAATGCTTCAGCAAAGGTTAGACTGTAGAGTATAAACAATTTTGGCTATCACTTGGGCTGTGTGTTTAACAGATAACCAAATCATTAGTTACAAATTAATAAAAGTTAGAGTATCTGAGGCCTTGAAGTTATCCCTATTTTTATATTATGAAGTTTTATTGTTTTACCTTTTTATCTTTAGACCAACAGTCTACTTGAATTATGTTTTGTCTGTAAGATAAAAGAAAAGGCCACATTTCTTTTTCTTATATGCATTCAGTACTGTGCTGTTATCATTTATGGAAAAGTCCTTTCACTACTGTATGGTAACAAGCTTTTACATAAAGCAAATGCCCATATATGTTTGGGTCTGTTTCTGTATTCTTTATTCTGTTTCATTGGCCTTTCTATTTGGTGGTAGTAGTCTAGTTTCCTTTATTTTCCACATTTCACTTCCTTTTGTTCCCTTCCCTTCTCCTTTCCTTATATCTCCTTCTCTCTTTCTTTCTCTCCTTCTCTCCCTCCCTCCCTCCTTTCCCTTCTCCCTCCTTCCTTTCCTCCTTTCCTCCTTCCTTTCTTCCTTCCTTCCTTCCCTCCTTCCTCCCTCCCTCCCTCCCTTCCTTGCTTCTTTCCTTCCTTCCTTTCTTTTTCCCTTCCTTCCTTTCTTTCCACATACTATGCATCCCAGGCTGTCCTCAAACTCATTACATATCCCAGGTTGTCTATAAACTCACAATCCTCCTATCTCAGCCTCCTAAGTGCAGGAATTATAATTATGTACCACCAAACCCAGTTGGCACAGTTTCTTAATAGTCCTTGAGCTTCTCTGTGCTCAAGGCAAGCACTCTACCACTTGAGCCACCATGCCACTTCCGGCTTTTTTTCTTTTTGCTTATGTGGTGCTGAGGAATCGAACCCAGGGCCTCATGCATGCAAGGCAAACGCTCTACCACTTTAATAGTTATATTTATTACAAGTTGATATTTAATGTAGTAATCACACCTTGTTCTTTTTCAAGAATGTACTGGCTAATTTTGGATCTCTCTTTTGAAGGTAGTGATGATAACATCTTGTGTTTAGCAAATTTTATTTAATTTTAAACTGACAGTTTCAGAGCTGCATTGTTGTAAGAGGATATGAGATCACCTCTCTTGGAATTAATGACATTTATTATAGTATTTCTTATAACTTGGGCCATATGGTCATAGCAACACTACATAATACTGGGGATATAGGTCAGGGGAAGCTCAAAAGAAACACACATACAAATACATTATATCAAATATCCACTCTTACTTCTTCTATCATTATTGATAAATTAATACATTCATGGGACCATTCCTCATTTCTCAGATTGAATAGCACTGCTCAGGTCTGCACAGAGTCCAATTAAATTCATAAAAATGTATTTGTATAATGTAAAATATGATTAATTTGAAACTACCAACAATATGAATATTGTTGAAAAGCAACTTGTACATACAAGAATTAGTGGGGAAAATTTGTTTTTCTGTATCTATGTGGGAGATTCAGATCCAGCCTTTGAAATGTCTTTCTGCAGATATTTGTGTGTGTATGTGTGTGTGTGTGTGTGTGTGTGTGTGTGTGTGTGTTTCAGTTAGTTTCTTGGTGCACCTCAGGACTGATCCTTGTATACTTTTGCTATTATAGCTTAAATTCAACTCAAGATGCTAAAACAGAAATGAAAGTTAGATATAATGATATAAATTCTTCGCATTGTCCGACTTTTCTAAGATTAGTGTACTAGGCTTATTATCATGAGTCAGTAATTCCTCATCATTCTCTAGGCTGCCATCCTTGCTAAGCTTTTACAAAAATATGTGGAATGCAACAAGAGTTGAATGTTAAAGGGGAAAACGAATTCTTTTATTAAATATTTATGATACAGTATCTACATTTGGATTTTTATCTTTACAGATTAATGCAGCTGAATCGAAGATAACAAATCTAATATATCTAAAACATACCTTAGAACTTGTGGAACCTTTAAAGGTAATTTATATGTGAATATTATACAAAACATGTTAGGCACTATTTTTAAACTACTTATTTAGAAAATAATATTAACTTAGAGGAAGTTGTGAGACTATCCAATGAATTTCTGTACTTTTCTCTATACATATAGCACATACACAAATACATTGTCTTTATTGTTAATGATTATTAAATCATTTGGAAGTAAGTTACAGCATCAAATACTGCAATATATCTTCTAAGAACAAGGATGTTCTCATATAACCACAGTGTAATTTTCATATTTGGGATTTATAATGTAGGTATAATACCATTATATGATGTACACCCTATAGTCAGTTTTTCAGTTGTTTTAATATTCTCTTTTTGGGGTGGGGGTCTGGTCGTGGGGCCTGAACTCTGGGCCTGGGCACTGTCCCTCAGCTCTTCAGCTCAAGGCTAGCACTCTACCACTTGAGCCACAGCACCACTTCCGGCTTTTTTCTTTTTGCTTATGTGGTGCTGTGGAATCAAACCTAGGGCCTCAGGCATGCAAGGCAAGCACTCTACCAATGAGCCACCTTCCTAGGTATTGTTTTAATATTCTGTAAAGCATTTTTCCCCTGATACAGAGTTCAGTCCATAACCATGTATTGTTGAATTTAATGTCTTCAAACTTTCTTGTTTGGTTGTGGAGATATGGTCTTGCTAAGAAGTCCAAGCTAGTCATTAACTCATGATCTCCTTGCACCAGCTTCCTAAGAGCTGGGATTACATATACTTCTATGCCCACTGATAATATTTTTTTTTCTTTTTTTGGTCAGTTGTGAGGCCTGAACTCTGGGCCTGGGCACTGCCCCTCAGCTCTTCAGCTCAAGGCTAGTGCTCTACTACTTGAGCCACAGTGCTACTTCTGGCTTTTTCTGCTTATGTGGTGCTAAGGAATTGAACCCAGGGCCTCAGGCATGCAAGGCCAGCACTCTACCACTGAGGAGTCACCTTCCCAGACCCCCACTGATATCTTTAAACCCTTAAAATGGAAAAGTTTCTTTTCTTTCATTCATGATATTATCATTTTGAAGATAAAACAACTTTTAGACAGTTGGTAGGAATACAAAAATCTGACTAGTTTATAGAAATGTTCACAACATTCATCTTTTCTATTTTTTGGGTGGGGGGGAGTGCTGGGAATTGAACATATGGCCTTGAATATGCTGAATGCACGATGTACTGTAGAGCTACGTCCCCAGCTTCTGCAACATACATCTTTTCATCTTGTAAAACAACTTCTAGAAAATCTGTCTGAAAAAGCTATTAAGAAATGTTGACCAGTCTTATTTCTGGTGATGACCATTGCTATATTATATATTAGTGAAAAACTATAGTTAGACTAAACTCCATTTATTAGAAGTAGTGCCTATTTGATTTTCACAGGATGGGATTGCTGCAAAAATTCTTCATATTCATGCTATCGTATTAAGTGGGGGGAAAAGAAGTACATATGATATACTATTTTAGAGTATCTTTACTAAGGTAATACAACTATGAACAATTTAGTTTTTTCTCTGGGTTTCTGTGAACTTTCTAAATTTTATCAGGATGTATAATTATTTTTCTGTCCCCAAACAAAAACGTTATAGATATTGTCTAAAATCACAGTATAATAAGAGGCAAATGTAAAGTTAACTATGAGTTCTCCTCTTTTCTGTTTATTTAGTTAGTGATCCCTTATAATATCAAGCAAAATTAAATTTCATTTCCTACTTTTAGCATATTAAAATGGAGAAATCGCTTTATTTATAAATATACAAAGCACTTTTCTAGTTAAATATATTTCTAGCCCAAATCTTAGAATTATGTAGAGAGAAAATTTATAGCAGTAGCCCACTTCTGTTATTAATTGGATGTTAATTATTAGAAGATTAGAAAAATAGAAGGCATAAAAATGAAACACTGGATTACACTTACCAACCAAATACTTTTAAATCTAGAAAATACAATTTGCCTAAAACATTTCTATGAAATAGAAATACTTCAAATATTTCTGCGAAGATAAAAATGAGAAAATGAATCAAGGAAGTGTCTGATAAAGTATAAACTATTAGTTATATAAACTACTATGCTTAAATAATATTATAATTTGTTATCTTTAACTATTTTTATTTTGTTTCTTTCATAGATGACTCTGAAGGACTGTAGTACAACTTTATTAAGAGCTTACTATGGCTCCTTGGAAGACAAGAGGTTTTTGTTACTTGTTAATAAAATAGATATTCTTTCCTATCTGATTATCACTGATTTTAAAAGCTTCAATCCTATTTGGATAAAAATTACTTGAATCTGTTTCACTTATTCATTAAAATTCTAATTATAAATTTCATTTGCAAGAGGAATAACTAGACTAAGAGCACATTGATTAATCAGTAATGACTGATAGAGTAGCATAAAAATTGAAACTCATGTACAAATTTAGTATTTCCTGTTTTAGCCATGGCAAAATGTACACATATAAAAACATACTTTCTTTGTTAAACCATGAAAGGCCTAATGTAGCCAAAAATAATAGTTTTGCATATTTAATAGGAGCTAGTTACAGTTTAACTTTATTCATGTTAAATTGTTAACAGTCACACTCAGGTTTTTGCTGAACAAAAAGATTTTTTATGCTTAAAATTATTTTATTGATTCAAGATTTATATTCTCTATAAGGCCACATACTAAGTTAATAATAAAACCAACTTAATTACATATAAAATACAAAACAGAATTTGTAGATAGCCTTGGGAAGTATTGCCATTTTCACATTGTTGATCTTTCCAATCCAGGAGCATGGGAGGTTTTTCTACTTTCTAAGTTCTGTTTTGATTTCCTTTTTCAGGTTTTTAAAGTTTTCATCATAGAGGTCCTTCACTTCTTTGGTTAAGTTAATTCCTAGGTATTTTATTTTTTGTGGGGTTATTACGAATGGAGTTGCTTTCCTTTCAGCCACGTTTTTCTCATTGTTGGCATACAGAAAAGCCATTGATTTTTGAGGGTTAATTTTATACCCTGCTACTTTGCCAAAGTTTTGAATCACCTTGAGTAATTTGGGAGTAGAATCCTTGGGATTCTTTAAATACAAGATCATGTCATCTGCAAAGAGGGAGAGCTTTACTCCATCTTTCCCTACTTGGATCCCCTTTATGTTTGCATCTTGTGTTATTGCTGTAGCTAGGCAATCTAATACTAGATTGAACAGAAGTGGAGAGAGTGGACATCCTTGTCCAGAGGAGTCAAAATTACATGGGCAAGATAACGAGTACATTTCTTTTCAAGCACTATTGCCTTCTCTCTGTTTCCCCTTCCCATCACTTCCTATACACCCCCAACTCCTCTCACCTGATCCTCCGCCCCCCCCACAAATTTGTAAAGTTCGTTTTTCGACATAACGACATATTGTTGTAATTGGTCTACCTGTATCCCTAGTTAAACAATTTGTTTTTTCCCTTCCGCTCCACAAATTATACCAACATCAAATACAGGGAAAGCAGCGGTTATACCCTGTGAGAGGGACATACAAAGTAACAAAGAAATCATCTTATAAATATGTTAGAAACAATTGCATGAAAGAAAAAAAACAATTTGAATACTGTGTGTTCATTTTTGTTGAATATCATGAACATTTGAATTTCCTTTCTAATCTCTTCCATGACCCACTCGTGATTCAATAGTGTGTTGTTCAGCCTACATGTGTTACAGGACTTTCTTTGGTGGCTCTTGGTGTTGAATTCTAATTTTATTCCCTTGTGGTCTGAGAGAATGCAAGGTATAACTTCAATGTTTCTGAATTTGAACAAGTTTGCTTTGTGACCTAAAATGTGGTCTATTTTGGAAAATGTTCCATGTGCTACTGCGAAAAATGTGTATTCTGATGCTATTGGGTGAAATATTCGGTAGATGTCTGTTAAATCTAGTTGATCTATGCAGTTGTTTAGATCTGCAGTTTCTCTGTTGAGTTTTTGCTGAGTTGATCTATCTAGTGGGGATAGTGGTGTGTTAAAGTCCCCAACAATCAATGTCTTTGCATCTATGTGAGATTTGAGGGAAAGTAGTGTTTCTTGGATAAATTTGGGTGCTCCGTTGTTTGGTGAATAGATAATAATATCCTTCTGAAGGAGAGAGCCCTTAATTAGTATGTAGTGACCTTCTTTATCTCTTCTCACTAATTTTAATTTGAAGCCTATTTTATCTGATATTAGGAATGCAACTCCTGCCTGTTTGCGGGGGGGGGGCATTTGCTTGGTAGATTTTATTCCAGCCTTTCACTATCAAAATGTGTTTGTTTTTATGGGCAAGTTGTGGCTCCTGAAGGCAGCAGATAGAAGGATCTTGCTTTTCAATCCCACTAGACAGTCTATATCGCATAATTGGAAAGTTAAGTCCGTTAATGCTTAGCAATAGGACTGAGAGGTATTTGGGAGTTCCGGCCATTTTATTCACCTTCTTGGGGGCTGCGGCAACTGGGTTCTTCCTATGGTTCTTGGATTCTCAGTTTGGGTGTGTTTTCTTGGCCTTTATTGTGGTCTTGTTGGTTTTCTATGTGTAGGACATCTTTAAGTATCTTTTGTAGGGCTGGTTTGGTGGAGATATATCGTTTCAGTTTTTCTTTGCTATGGAAGGTTTTTATTTGACCTTCAGTTATGAAGGAGAATTTAGATGGGTACAGTATTCTTGGTTGATAGTTGTTTGTCTTTAGGGCATGGCATATATTATTCCAGGCTCTTCTTGTTTAATTGTCTCTGCTGAGAAATCTGAGGTGATTCTAATTGATTTCCCTTTATAGGTGATTGATCTTTTCTCCTTGAGAGCTTTAAGGATCTTTTCCTTGGTCTGAGTTGATCCTGTGTGGATTATAATGTGATGATGGGAAGTCCTGTTCTGGTCTTGTCTATTTGGGGTTCTAAACACTTCTTGTATCTTAATAGGCCTATCTTTTTGCATGTTTGGGAAGTTCTCTGCTAGGATCCTGTTAAACAAATTTCCTAGATCATTAACTTCTAGGATCCTGACACTACTCTTGATAGGTAGTGTGAAGTGTTTGAGAGAATGATCATCAAGACTAATTTATAATTCTTTAGTTTTTACTCACAGACATGGTCTGTTATGTATGATCTGGAAGATATATTTATACATTTTAGAACTGTATTTAATGGTGTCATATTATTTTAGAATAGTCCTTACTGATGAAATAGTTTCTTTTCACCATCCTAGCTCTAACTTACATAATTATAAGTATTTATTATTTATTTTCAAATAACTTTCAACAAAATTTACTATCATTAACTATGATTCAAATTATAAATGAAAGTAGCTGTTTGACTTATTACATGTGATTTTTTTAACCTTAATTTTAGGTTTGGGATCATACTTGAGAAGATCAAAACAGTGATCAATGATGATGCAAGATATATGAAAGGATGTCTGAATATGAGGACTCAGAAGTGCTATGCTGTGAGGTCTAACATAAATGAATTTCTTGATATTGCTAGGAGAACCTATACAGAGATTGTAGATGACATAGCAGGTAATTTATCTGAGAATATTTTCTGTTTTTTTAGGACTAAGACAATCATTAGTACATGCTGTGCTTTTTCACTGATGATAAACCACTAGCTATGCATTGTTTTTTTTTTAAATCACAAAACTGCTAATTGCTCTTAATTGCTACTTAAGGAACCTCACTTTTTAAAAAAATGTAAATGTCAAATGTTACAGTGTATCTTTTTTTCATACAACACTGTGTTAGTTATATGAACTATACAGGACTATCATTACTCAATTTTCCATTGAGCCAGTCTAGTAATTCCATTTTTTCCAATTTCTTTTTTAATATATATTTTTATTGTAAAGATACTGTACCGAAGCTTCACAGTTACATGAGTAAGGTAATGAGTACATTTCCTATCGAGCATTGTTACCCCTTCCCTTGTTTTTCCCCTTACCATCCCTTCCCTCCCTACTTCTCCAACTCCTTCCCCCCACCTTTCTACACCCCCTCCCACCCCGTGCCCCAGAAGTTTTAAAATTTGTTTTTAACATAGTGTCTTATACATCTCATTGCTACAATGGGTCAACCTGTATCCTTATTTCAGCATTTTGTTATTTCCTTTCCCCTCCCTAATTTAGAAAAATGTGTGTGTATATATATATATATATATATATATATATATATATATATATATATATGTATATATATATAAGATGCAGGGCACTGGAATCAAATACAGTGAAAACAGGGGTCAAACTGTAGGGGAAGAACATCAAAAGAAACAAAAAAAAATCACATAGTACATTATAAGTACATTAAAACCAACAGCAGCAAAGATAAATCTCCTGTGTCCCTATCTTGGGGTTCATTTCGCTTAGCATCATCTTATATGGTCATATATACATAGCATTTGACCTTTTCTGCTTGTCCTAGACATAAAGAGAGACTTCTCTGAAGAGGAAATAAGAATGGCCATTAGACACATGAAGAAATATGCAACTTCTCTAGCCATAAAAGAAATGCAAATCAAAAGAACATTGAGATTCTACCTCATCCCAGTTAGAATGGCTGTAATCAAGAAATCTAGTAACAGATGCTGGAGAGGATGTGGCCAAAAGGGAGCCCTACTGCATTGCTGGTGGGAGTATTCAACCACTCTGGGAAGCAGTATGGAGGTTCCTCAAAAGACTCCACATAGAGCTCTCCTATGACCCAGCAGTCCCATTTTTGGGCATTTACCCAAGCAATCACAAACAAGGCCATACTAAAGCTACCAGCACAACTATGCTTATTGCAGCATTATTCACCATAGCTAAGATATGGAACCAACCCAGATGCCCCTTAGTAGATGAATAGATCAAGAAAATGTGATATATATATATATATATATATGTATATATATATATATATATATATATATATATATATATATGCACACACACAATGGAAATTCTGTGCCTCCATCAGAAAGAATGACACAGCCCCATTTGTTAGGAAAAGGAAAGACTTGGAAAGAATTATATTAAGTGAAGTAAGCCAGACCCAAAGAAAAATAGGTCCCATGGTTTCCCTTATTTGCATCTAGTAATTCTTTTAACAAGGATTTACTAAACTCTTATTATATATGGAAATTAATCTGAATAGTTGGAATACATAGTGACTTAAAGTCCCTGTCCTTATAGTTTATATTATGTGGATGAGGCAGACAGTAAAGAAGTAAACACACTCACAATTCACGTGTATGTTGTGTAATATACATGTATCAATAATCAATAGGTATCAGTCAGAAGAATCATGTAATTTCACATGGATATAAGATACATGAAGGAAAATAAAGGTTAGAGGAGTCAGAGAGTCACTGGAGGGTCTTCCATAGAGGAAGGGAAAGTTTATAGTAGATAGAATACTCTGAGGAGGTGTTCTACTCACTCAGAGTAGTATAAACTGAAGCACAGAAGATTAAGGTGACCTCAAAATATGAGTAAGGATAGAATATGACATTTCTTTACACAACTAATAAGAGATAAGAACAAAAATGTAGAGAGGGAAGTAGCATTTATGTGTACCACCCCTCCCCCCGCCAGGAAAATGTAGAGGTACTGAAATGTTTTCCCCTTGTGGAGGAAAACTGATAATAGTAATAGTAACAACAACAACAACAATAATAATGATAAAAAACCATGAAACTAAGTGATATACAGGCAGGAAGACCACTTTAAGTTGTTGTACATTAGCTAGTTGTGGAGAAATATGCCTGTAATTCTAGCTACTCTTTTTTTTTTTGGCCAGTCCTGGGCCTTGAATCTGGGCCCTAGACTTGTTTTGCTCAAGGCTAGCAGTCTACCACTTAAGCCACACCACCACTTCTGTCTTTTTCTGAGTGGTTTCTTGGAGATAAGCATCTCCTAGACTTTCTTTCCAAGGTCAGCTTCAAACCATGATCCTCAGATCTCAGCCTCCTGAGTAACTAGAATTACAGGCATGAGCCACTAGTGCTCAATTCCAGGTACTCTATAATAGGAGAATTGTGGTTGGAGGCCAGCTCAGGGAAAAAGTTTGCAGAATCCCATCTTGAAAAACAAGCCAGGAGTGGAAGTGAATCCCAACTATGCAGGTGTCATAGATAGGAAGATAGTAGACCAGAGCTAACAGTATCTGAAGCAAGACCCTGTCTGAAAAACAACGAAAAGCAAATGGCTGAGATATGGCTTTATGTGGTAGAGCACCTGCCTACCTAGTGGAATACCCTGAATTCAAACCCAGTACTGCAGGAAAAAGATTGATATTATTAACATAGTTAATACTATTAGCTTCCTAACAATAATTAGGGTTATAGCAGTATATGGGAGACAAGAAGAGTAAGATGCAAGATTGAAAGAAAAATTGATAGGGATTAATTATGTCCATGGTAGAATGAAGCAATTAGGTCAAAGTGACATTTCTATTACTGAAATGATGAAATATGAAATGATTAAAAACAGGAATATTAGGAAGATTTTTTTGGGTCCAATCATGGGGCCTGAACTCTGGGCCTGGGTGCTGTCCCTCAGCTCTTCAGCTCAAGGCTAGCACTCTACCACTTGATCCACAGCACCATTTCCGGCTTTTTTCTTTTTGCTTATGTGGTGCTGAGGAATTGAACCCAGAGCCTCATGCATGCAAGGCAAGCGCTCTACTACTGAGCCACCTTCCCAGCCCCTAGGAAGATGTTTTGAGTAGTAAAGATGTTATTCTTTTTCTGGTAATGTTCAAAATTGAGATCATATTAGAAATACAAACATATAACTATATTGTGGGAAGTTAGAAATTAACTTGGAATAGTTGGATTTTTTCTAGGAATCATCTCTTAAGTTTTATGAATATTTTCTGTAATCAGATATATTTGTAGAGGAATTTTATATTCTGAATTAGTTCTTGCAATCATTCATGTAAATATTCTGTTATTAAAAAGTAGAATGAATAATATATCAAATGTTAATATTTCAAAGGCTGGAGGTGTAACTCAGTGGTAGAACACCTACCTAATTGAACTCCAATACTGCAAAAAGCAAATAAGAAAACAAAAAACGTATAACATTCCTCACCTAGAGTATGAAATCTTTTTAGTTTTTATTTGTATAATTTAGTTTTGTTAAAAAATGCTTATCAGGAATGCCTTTTCCCTTCTATTCTTCAAGGAAGGATATGGCCATATCTTTTTTTTTTTCTTTTGTGCTGGTTCCGGAGCTTGAGCTTAGAGCCTGGGCAGTGTCCTTGTAGTTTTTTTGGTCAAGCTTAGTGTCCTATCACTTGGGTCACACCTTCACTTCCTGCTTTGGAGTTATTCATTAGAGATAAGAGTCTCAAGAACTTTCCTGCCCAGGCTGCCTTTGAACTGGAATCCTCAGATATCACCTTCTTAAGTAGCTAGAATTATAAGCATAAGTCACTGATGCTGAAGAGTCACCAAATCTTTTTGACATCAAACATTTTAATAATTAAAGTAACACTAACTTTCTTATTACTTATAAAATAATAAGAACAATTTGTTTGATGATTGAAATAAAAAAGAACAATTTCATCATAAAAATTCTCTTATTTTTTCTTTGTTTTGGACACTAGGAATGATATCACAACTTGCAGAAAAGTACAGTCTTCCTCTAAGGACAAGTTTTAGCTCCGCTCGAGGATTTTTCATTCAGATGACTACAGATTGTACAGCACTCCCCAGTGATCAACTTCCTTCAGAATTTATCAAGGTTCATTCTGGAGTGGTTAGGAAATAATTGTTCTAGAGGTTTCAGTTAAATTAACACATTTTCACCATTCCTTGACTTTTACATGCCAAATTTCTGAGTGTTCTATGTATTACTTTTTCTTCTATTCCTTCCTGCCACCTAGCAGCTATGCCATCCACAGTGAGTTATAAACACTTTTAGAGAAAAATCAAACTCAGTGTTACCCACATTGGGGGAGCTTAGTTTGAGAAGATAAAGTAAATGAAGAAATTAAGTCCAAAAAGTAATATTGATAAAAAGAGATTAGGAAAATATCTTTCCACTTTTTTTTTTTTTTGCCGGTCGATCTAAACTCTGCGCCTGGGTGCTGTCCCTCAGCTCTTCAGCTCAAGGCGAGCTCTCTACCGCTTGAGCCACAGTGCCACATCCGGTTTTTTCTGTTTATGTGGTGCTGAGGAATCGAACCCAGGGCCTCATGCATGCAAGGCAAGCACTCTACCACTTAGCCACCTTCCCAGCCCATCTTTCCACTTTTTATTTTAGGTAGCTCTCCAGACATATTTGTTTATTAAAGATTTGAAAAATCCCAAAGAAGGAAATTTACTTAACATTTTAAAACTAGCATTTCCTGAACATTTGGACCATGTGAATACTTTTTCCTGTATATTTATTTATTCCTCCATAGTATATTAGCATGGGAAAATTTTTTTTGTTTGTTTGTTTCCCAGTCCTGGGGCTTGAACTGAGGGCCTGGGCACTATCTCTGAGCTTCTTTTTTTGCTCAAGGCTAGCACTCTACCACTTGAACCACAACATCAATTCCAGTTTTTTCTGTTTATATGTGGTACTAAGGAATCAAACTCAGGACTTCATTCATGCTAGACAAGCACTCTACCACTAAGCCACATTCCCATCGCATAGTGTGGGAAAATTTACCCAGACTAATCTTTGCCTTTTCTGTTTCTAAAGAGCATATTTTAATAAAAGCAAGCATATATAAACCCCATATATATAAACAAAGTTTATATATATGGGGTTTCATGTATCTATGTATGCAAGTTAAATGACATATATACACATACATACATATGTGTACACACAATATAGAATTACCAAGGAATATAGGCCAGATTAGCAAACTCCATAAAGGTGTTAGGGATTGGAGTTTGGATATGTGAGAAGGATTGAAACAGGAGTCCAACATGAGGTGAGGTTTACTAATGTTTGTTATCCATATCACTTGATAATTATGATACAGATTGTCTACATCATTCTTATAGGGCTCTTTTAAAATCTATCAAGATACTCATGTTGAATGGTCTGGGGTAAACTTCTTTTTCTCTTTCACAATACTGTATATGAATATTTAATAATTAGCCTACATACTTATATTTTGATTTTATAAATGTATATATTTTATCTCACATGCATATGCATATATCTTGACATTTATTTTTTAACTTCCTACCAGATTTCTAAAGTGAAAAATTCTTATAGCTTCACATCAGCAGATTTACTTAAAATGAATGAAAGATGCCAAGAGTCTTTGCGAGAAATTTATCACATGACTTACATGTAAGATCATTTGAAGTATCTGAATATTGAATTAAATTATTTTGAGGAACTGTGATAAATTTAATTAACTTTTTGTCTGATTATAGATTATTTTCAAACTATTAATGCTAGGAAAGAAAGTCTATCATTTTGATGTGGAGCACTGAACCTTACTGAAACATCAGGGCAAATTTAGTTGCAAAAAACAAAATACATGATAATGCATACTTCTGAAATGTGAATAACACTGTGATGTAGTGTTTGGAATATCATGGACTTACAATGGGCTTTATTTTGTTTATTCTTTTCCAGTAAGCTGTAAGGCCTAGACTTCTCATACCCTGGTATTTCAAGAGCAACATCATAATCATGCCAATTCTTTTTCTGTTCATGAAAAGTAGCAATACAGTTACAAGGAATAGAACATTTAGAATTGCTGGGCTAAAATAGTAAAGAGAAAAGCCAGGCTTTCAAAATAGGTTGAAGGTGTAGACAATAATACATAGCCAATTTATATATTTATCATTATAAGGAAGGGGGAAAAACCCTTTGCATTATATAACAGTGTAACCCTGCTATATAAAACCTCAAATAATTATGTTTAGAGGCAAGGATCAAGTGGTAGAGCCTCTGTCTAGCAAATCCCTGACCACCAAAAAGTTAAGTGATTATGTTATTCTGATATGTGTGTGAATATGGGAGTGGGCAGTGGATGAGAAAGGAAGGAGAAATGAGAGACAGAAATATAGCACTTTTTGTGTTGAATTGAATGTTTGCAAAAGTAAAATGATTAGCAGGTGAGATCTTTTCAAGTACAGGATAAGTGCGATTTGGCCTCTTTGAAACTATTTGTTTGTTTGCTTGCTTGTTATTTATATTGGTGCTAGACCTGGGGCTTGAACTCAGTCTGTACACTGTCTGTGAGATTCTTTGCTCAGGCTAGAGCTCTATGACTTGAGCCACAGCACCACTTCCAGACTTTTCTGAGTAGTTTATTGGAGATAAGAGTCTCATGGACTTTCCTGCCTGGACTGGCTTTGAATTGCCATCAGATTTCAGCCTCCTAAGTAGCTAAGATTACAGATATGATATGAGCCAACAGCACATGGCTCAATTTTTTTTTTTTGGCAATTAATTTGAGATAAGAGTCTCACAGACTTTCTTGTCCATGCTGGCTTCAACTGTGATCCTTAGATCTCAACCTCTTGAGTAGTTGGGATTACAGGTGTGAGCCACCAGGCTGGCTGAAACTTTTATCTTTTATAAAATACAGCCTTTTATTAATAAAGATTGGTCTCGTTAATAATAAAAGCAGTCCTTTTTTTGGGAGGGGGTCATGGAGCTTGAATTCTGGGCCTGGGCACTGTCCCTCAGCTCTTCAGCTCAAGGCTAATGCTCTACCACTTGAGCCACAGCACCACTTCCAGTTTTCTGGTGGTTTATTGGAGATAAGACTTTCTTGCCCAGGCTGGCTTTGAACCGCAATCCTCAGATCTCAGCCTCCTGAGTAGCTAGGATTACAGGCGTGAGCCACCGGCGCCCAGCTAAAGCAGTCATTTGTCAAGTTTAGTGTAACTACACCAGAAAAATGTGTTCTTTGTCACTAAGTATTTAGGATCTTGAACAGAAGATTCCATTTCTTCATCCTATCTAAAATGAGATAACTTGAGTAATGGATATATTTTATAGTGTATAGCTCAATATTATTTTACCTCAGGAAATGAATTTAATATTATTCTAAAATTACATTTTGTATCCTTCAAAACAAAAAGCATTGTCACATGTTTTACCAAAATTGTACTTTCAGGATAGTGTGTAAACTTCTTGGTGAGATATATGAACATATTCATTGCTTATATAAACTCTCCGACACTGTGTCAATGCTGGACATGCTACTGTCATTTGCTCATGCCTGTACTCTTTCTGACTATGGTAAGTTACTTTCTTTGGAATAGACAAATTTCATACTAAAGTTTGTATTCTAGTCAAATATATTTTTAAAACAATTATGCATATTTTACATAGCCTCTTAGCTATAAGATACAAAATACAGAAAAGCATTGTTTAAAACTCAAAATTTCATTCATTCAGAAATTGATAAATCAATGAAGATATTGCCAGAAATTTTCAAGGTTTTCCAAATAAGAAAGACTGCAGAGCTGTCTCCTTGGTGAAGATTTCAGTGCTTCAGATCCAAATCTTAATACCCACTAGAAACAATGCAACAAATTCTACCTTTTCATACATTAGCTGTTTAGATGTGTGCAAGGTAAAATGAGGAATTATATCCATTATTTTTCTGTCTCAAGCCTGTATATAGTTCTCGAATTTAAATATAGAGTAATTTTGTAATGTTAACTGAATACTTCAATCAAAGTAACCCCTGACATTTTTTTATCCAATTTATCAGGAGTAGACATACTCTATCTAGCATGCTAATCTATAGGACTACTATATGATTAAAACTATATCAGACATGACATTCCAAATTTAGTATATTATTTTTATGAGAAATATAGAGATTTTTTCCATATGTCCATATTTGTAATAGAAATACCTTCTCAGTAGTTTATATCTCTTTGAGGGATCACAACCTAACCTTAAGGATTTCTAATATTAATTTCCTTAGTATTAAGAGACTTGACATTATTACATTTTAGTTTGAGGGGTATAATATTTAAATTAAAAAACTATAATGAAGTTTTGAAAATACTTTTAAAGCTTCTCTCTAATTAATCTTACTTATAAAATGAACAATTTCAAGTTTATCTGTACATCTTACCAGTATGTAGTGTTTATTTTCTCTTATCCTTCTCCTCTGTTACTTATTTCTCTACCTTACATATTAGCCATAGAAATCTGATCATTTGTTTCTAATAATTATAAAATTTTTGAAGTTGATTTTTTCCCATGCTTTAGGTTGTACTTTTGTTGTGTATGTGTGATTGTACAGGGCTTGAATTTAGGGCCTGGATACTGTCCCATATATATAGATATATATAGATTTGGGATACAAAAATAAATGACATAATTCCTCATCTTTCTGTATATTTTAATTTAGAGGATTCCAGTAAGACTTGAGTAAAGTAATACCTTAAAGAATTGTCCCAAGTTGATCCTAATAAAATAACTATGATATACATAGTACACACATAACAAAATAGATACAAATATACTAATTTTCTGAACTTTTTTCCACCAGTTCGGCCAGAGTTTACTGATACTTTAGCAATCAAGCAGGGATGGCATCCCATTCTTGAAAAAATATCTTTGGAAAAACCTGTTGCTAATAATACCTATATTACTGAAGGAAGTAATTTTTTGATTATAACTGGACCAAATATGAGTGGAAAGTCCACATATTTAAAACAAATAGCTCTTTGTCAGATTATGGCCCAGATTGGTAAGTGATGCTTTTACTGCTCTTTCCAAATGTTTTGTATCTATTTTTTTTTCTGTCAGTTGTAGGACTTGAACTCTGGGCCTGGACACTGTCCCTGAGCTCTTCAGCTCAAGGCAAGCACTGTACCACTTGATACAAAGTGCCATTTCCAGTTTTCTGATGGTTAATTAGAGATAAGAGTCTCATGGACTTTCCTCCCTCGGCTGGCTTTGAACAGCGATCCTCAGAGCTCAGCCTCCTGAGTAGCTAGGATTACAGGCATGAGCCACGAGAGCCCAGCTTTGTATCTAGTTTTTAGGTTCAAATGTTTGGTTAATTTTAGAAAAATTTTGAGCAGATTCTCTTATATAGATATACTATTGGGATTTAGTAAGCTATATCTAATTTGGACTTCATTTCCACATTTATTAGTTTAATATATTATATTTATTTATATTCTTATATATTTCCAAACAGATTTTGTTATGGAATATCATAGAATTAGAAATTTCTTTACTATAACTATTGATATATGAATTGTTATTAGCTGGAATAATATAATTATTTCTGGTTCATAAATAAACTTTGTTGTAACAAAAAGTAAAATGAGTAGGATAAGCTAATGCCTTGATAACCTCATGAAATTTTCCCAAAATTATAACACTAGGCTAAGAAACATTTCTTTGACTTGAGGAGGTACTGATAACAATTGCAATATTACTCTAAGGTGCTCAGTCATCTATTTCCTATTTTTAAAGGTCAGTACTCCTCATAACTACTTATAGAAAATAACACAGGCATGATACTTTTTTTTGAGGTACCTCCAGAGTGATCTCCATAGTGGCCAAACTAATTTATAATCCCATAAACTGTGTAGGAGTTCCTTTCCTACGTCACACACATCCTTTCTAGCACTATCATTGTTTGTTTTCTTGACAGTCCTTCTGACTCAGGTAAGCTAGAATCAATCTAAATTTAGTTTTATTTGTATTTTTCTAATGGCTTAACATAATGAACATTTTTTCATGTCTTTTTGGCCAATTGCCTTTTTTATTTGCAAACTCTCCATTTTCTGATTGCATTATTTGTTCTTTTAGTATTTAGTTTTTTTTTAAGTTTATTATATTTTCTTGATATTAACCCCCTGTTAGAGAAAGCAGGAAAATATTTTTTTTAATTCTGTAGACTGTCTCTTCACATTGGCAACTGTTTCCTTTGCTATCTAGACGAGTTTTAGTTTGATGTAATCCCATTTGTTAATTCCTTTTATTTTCTGAGCTATTAGTATATTCAGAAAGTTATTGTCTTTGCCTGTGTGTTCAAGTCTTTCTCCTATATTTTTCTCTAGTAGTTTCAGAGTTTTTGACCTTATATTGAAGTTTTTAACCTTAGTAATCTTTGAATTGCTATTTGAAACAGAGTGAAAAGTAAAGATTTGGTTTTAGTCTTCTACCTGTGGATATTAGGTTTTTCCTACACCATTTGTTGAAAAGGCTATTTTTTTCAATTGACGCCTTTGTCAAGAATTAAATGGCTATTCCTATGTGGGTTTATTTGTGTCTTCTATTGTTTTTTTTTTTTTTCAGTCAGTGAACCTATTTTAGTGCTATGCTGCTTTTGTTACTATAGCTCTGAAGTATAATTTAAAACATGAAATTTGAAACATGAAATCATGATACTTCTAGCATCACTCTTTTGCTCAGGATTCCTGTGGCTATTTGGGGTCTTTTATGCTTCAATAAAAATTTTAGGTTAAACTAGGGAAGAGGTGACACTGTTCAAAAAGAGATATATTTATTACCTGACTTATGTAACTACAAACTCTCTGTACATCACCTTTACAATTTCAAAAAGGTTGATTTTTCTATTTCTTTGTAGAATGACATTAGTATTCTGATAGGGATTACATTGAATCTGAAGATTGTGTATTAGGTAGCATGGCCATTTTCATGATATTAATTTTATTTACTCATAAACAGAATTGTTTTGGAGTTACTTTGGAGAGGGAGTCTTGTGGACTTTTCTATCCCACATTGTAATCCTGAGTAGTTGTCATTACAGGCATGAGTTACTGGTGCAGTACAATTTAGGGCTTTTATTATGAAGTGAAGTTGAATTTTTTTGTCTTTTTCTGCATCTGTTGATCATATTTTGTTGTTGTTGTTCCTGTTTCTATTAATGTGTTGTATTGCAGTTATTCATTTCCATCTGTTGAACCATCCTTGGATCCCTAGAATAAAACCAACTAGATGGTTCTTTAATGTGCTGTTGAATTTAGTTTGCAAGTGTCCTATTGAGGAACTTTGTGCTTATTTTCATCGAGGAAATCTGTTTATTAACTGTCTTTTTTTTTTGTTATTCTCTTGCCTGGTTTTGGTATCAGGATAACATTGTTTCCATAGAATGAGTTTTGAAGTGTTTCTTCCTTTTGATTTTATGGAATAATTTGTGGAACTTTGATATTCTTTAAAGAGCTGGTAGAATGCAGCAGTGAATCTCTGCAGTTGGGATTTTTTTTGTTGAAAGACTATTATTGCTGTAATCTCATGGCTTAGTATGGGTTCATGTACACAGGTTATGTTCTCTTGGTTCAATTTTACCTTGGTAGGATGTCTATACATTTAGCCACTTAGATTTTCCTATTTCTTGGAATTTATGTTTTGTTAATATTTCCTAATCCTCATAATTTCATGATAGCTATTGTAATATCCCCTTTCACCTTAATTTTACTTTGGGTATTTTCCCTTTATATTTTCATTATTTTAATTAAGAGTTTGTCACTTTTTTTTCTTGGCCAGTCCTGGGGGCTTGAACTCTGGGCCCAGCTGCTTTCCCTGGGCTTCTTTTTTGCTCAAATCTAGCATTCTACCATTTGAGCCACAGTGCCACTTCTGGTTTGTTGAGAAATTTATTGGAGATAAGAATCTCAGCTGGTGGCTCATGCCTGTAATTCTAGCTACTCAAGAAGCTGAAATCTGAAGATCGTGGTTCAAAGCCAGTTCAGGCAGGAAAGTCTGTGAGACTCTTATCTCCAATAAACTACTCAGAAAACCAGAAGTGCTGCTGTGGCTCAAGTGGTAGAGTACTAGCCTTGAGCTGAAGAGCTGAGGGACAGCACCCAGGCCCAGAGTTCAAGATCAATGACCGACAAAAAAAAAATCCTGCCCAGGCTGGCTTTGAACTGCAATCCTCAAATCTCAGCCTCCTGAGTAGCTAGGATTACAGGTATGAACCACTGGTACCTGGGTGAGTTTGTCATTTTTATCTCATTAAAAAACTGTTTTATTGTTCCTTTGTAGTAGTATTCTTTTGCTCCCCATTTTATTAATTTTCATCCTGATCTTTATTATTTATTTCCATATACTAATTTTGTGTTTGTTTTGTACTTGATTTTGTATGAGCTTGAAGTATATCATTAGTTACTTACTTGAGAGTTCTCTGATTTTTTTTAAATGTAGGCACTCATAGCTATTAACTTCCATCTTAAAAATACCTTTATTTTATCCCAATGGCTCTGGTAAGTTTTATTTTCATTTTTATTTAATTCTAAGAAAATTTCTTCTTTGGTTTCTCCAGTAACCGATTGATCGTTCAAAGTTGTTTTGGTCAATTTCCACATATTAGCATAGTGTCAGCTATTTTTCTTGCTATTGACACCTAACTTCATTTCATTATGGTCTGATATGATAGAAGAACTTATTCCAATTTTATTGCATTTGTTAAAACTTGCTGTATTGCCTAAAATATGATCTAGTTTGTAAGTTTCATTGGCTGCTGTGAAGAATATCTTTCCTCATCTGTTGAGTGAGATATTTTGCAGAGGCCTGTAAGGTCCATTTAAGCTATGGTGCAGTAAGAGTAGAATACTAATACCTACTATTACTATATCTGAATTTACCTATCCCAAAGTCTTTCATTTGTGTCTTGAACTAAGTGCTCCAAGGTCTCGAGGATATATGTTTATAATTTATAATATAAATTGTAATCGTTTTCCTTGATAGATTCTTCATTTTAGTGACATTTTATCCCTTCTTATTTATTTTGGCTTGAAGTTGGCTTTATCATGTTTGTGTCTAGGTACTCCTCTTTGATTTTGTACTCTGTTTGCCACATATTTTTCCATCTTTCCACTTTGAGTCTGTATGTGTCTTCATCACTGAGATGAGTTCTTGTAGAACTCATTGTTTTTAATCCATTTTACCAGTCTGATGAGAATGTTAAATCTTTTTACATTTAGAGTTTGAACTGGAAAATTAAGTCTGGTGACAGTAGAGTTTGTTCAAGAAATATGTACTAACTTCTTCATCTTAGAGGTTTGTTAGTTTACTGAATTAATATCTTTTATTCTTTCTTTTTTTTTTCTAGTTCTGCTACTGAGATTTATTCTTTCTTGAATTTTCAGACTGGTATGTTTCTTTCTTCGTCTTCTATGTATTCTCATAAGTATCTTCTGCAGTATTGGTCTACAGTGTTGTTTTGGTCTATGCTTATCATGGAAGATGGTTAGTTCTTTAAAGAGTAACTTCAGTAGATATGCCAGTTCTTTTGTTTTGGGGCTCTAACTACATCTGTCTGTGTTTTTTGTGGCCTTAGGGTTACTGAAGATAGGTCTGCTGTTATTCTGATAAGTTTATCTTTGTACATAACTGCCACTTATCAGTTTTCAGCTTTTACTATTCTTGTTTTATACTGTTGGCTTTTGACCTAAAATACGATGTAGAGTTCTTTTCTAGACATAGCCATTTTGGAGTTCTAAATGCCTAATGTACTTGGATATACATTTCTTTCACTACTTTGGAAAATTTTCTGTGATAATTCATTAAATAAGTATTTCTACTTTTACCTTGTATCTCAGTCCCCTACTCAAGACTACATGTTTGTAGGTTTAATCAGAAGGTTAAGGATGCTAACTATGTCCTAATCATGGCTACTGTGGTCATATTACTTGTTTTGTATTTTTGCTGAGTATAATAACTCTTTGCTGAATTTCTTTGCTGAATTTCTTATCCAGGATATTGGCTTACTCATTCAGGTGTTAAATTGTCTATTTTACTTCATTCACTTTTTATTTGAATCCTTTATGAGGTCATTTATAATTTCTGAAACCAGACTTCTGATTTTTTTTTTTTTTTTTTTTTTTTTTTTTTTTTTGTCGGTCGTGGGGCTTGAACTCTGGGCCTGGGCGCTGTCCCTCAGCTCTTCAGCTCAAGGCGAGCGCTCTACCACTTGAGCTACAGCGCCACTTCCGGTTTTCTGGTGGTTTTATTGGAGATAAGAGTCTCACAGTCTCTCCTGCCCGGGCTGGCTTTGAACCGCGATACTCAGATCTCAGCCTCCTGAGTAGCTAGGATTACAGGCGTGAGCCACCAGCGCCCGGCAGACTTCTGATTTTTTTGTCTGAAATTTTAGCCTTTTCTGTGTTTTGTATCCAGTTCTTGAAGAGTTTTAAACTTTTGGAGCCATATTGACTTGCTTTTTCATATTGCTCTTGCTTCTAAGTTTAAGTTGTGCATTTGTTGAGATAAATAGTTCCCCTAGTTTTATTTAAGGAAGTAAGATTTCTTTTGAAGGGTTATACCTCAGTAACATGTCAGAGAAGAAAAACAATCTAAGAGCAACACCTTCTAGACAGCTAGGTTTATGCAGGCTGAAGGAGGAACCAGTCAAGGGGCAATTGTCTTTTTTGTGGGAGGGGTAACAAGTTCAACAAGAAATGCACTCACTACCTTACATATGTAACTATAACCCCTCTGTGCAACACCCTGACAAAATTAATTTTTTTTTAAAAAAGGGTCAGTTGTCCACTTCCAGGCTGCATTCACCTGAGAAGCTTCCCTTCTTTCACACTCAGATCTGCTTCTGACTCTGACACTTGCGTCACAGGCTTGCTTTTTTGTGTGCCCAGTGGTGGTAAATGTCCTAACCAAGAGTTGTTCCCTGAGTGTCAGGGAGTTGGAGGAACAAACAGCACTGAAATATGCACTAGGGATTTGGGGGTGAACTGACAGAAACTGGCATCCTGCCTGAATGTCTCAGTGCTTTCAGATCCCACCCAGCATAAATTATCGTGTGTGTGTGTGTGTGTGTGTGTGTGTGTGTGTGTGTGTGTGTGTGTTGGAAAATCCCATAAACTACTAGACCTGAGCTCAGGTCTAGTCACAACTGGATTGCTGGCAGCAAACCATACATCTCAAGGAATGAGCACCAGAGGTCATGTACTTTGCTCCACCAGGTTGGAGGCTCTTAGTCTCGCAGTCACCATAGACAGTGAGGCTTTCTCCTTATCACAGAGAGTAAGAGCCTCTGATCACCCTACTTTTCATAGCCTGAGCCTAAATGTCTCAGTGAGTCTATGTTCATCTTCCCACAGCTGCCACTTGAGGCTGTCTCAGACACTGTGTAAGGGTGTCATGGGAAGGCTTACTTGTAATAATCACTTACTTTCAGAACCCTAATATATCTCAGTCTCCAACAATAGGCTTCCTCTCAAAGTAGCAACTCTTAGAGATAAAGGGAGTGGCAAAAATTATTCTTTCTCCAATGCTGGCCTTGGAAGAACGATTGGCGCACTAAATTCCTGTGCTGTGTTTAAGGCTTGTGGGAACTCCAGGATTATCCTGAAGCTAGGGATGCTTGTTTGTTTCATCATAGTCAACCTTGGCTACAACTTACTTTTCTTTCCGAACAGCTCAGGTTGGAACTATAGACTGTTACTATCTTTTCTCTTGTAGCCTCTCTACATCTCTAGGCTTTTCAGATGTCTTTTTTTTAAAATACAATTTCATCTCTTTTTTTGTTCAGAATAGTCTATTTTTGTTACCCCAACTCTTCTTAATCATTACACAGAGGAAAATTTCAATCTTCCAGTTTACTCCAAATAAAATCAAAGATCTAAAACATTTTTATAATGATTTTTAATCAACTGAGCTTTGTAAGAATTTTCTCCATAATTCCAAGTTTTAAATGCTATTCTTTATCATTTACCACATTATTAATTTTTTTATGGATTTTAAAATGTCCTCTTTCTGGTATACTTGAATTTCAGGTCAAATGCTACCCTATTTTGACGTACAATTGTATAATAGGACAACGGCTTTACACATGAGACTGGGAAAGTTGAAGTATTCTAGGTCATGCAATAAGTTTTAGAGCTCATTTTCTTTAATTCCATATCCAGTTCTCTTTCTACAACAAAATCATAGTAAGTTGTCTGCAAATATGTTGCTGGTATTTATAAAAGTATTTTAATTTATCTTGCTTTTATATTTTACAGGTTCATATGTTCCAGCAGAATATTCTTCCTTTAGAATTGCTGAACAGATCTTTACAAGAATCAGTACTGATGATGATATTGAAACAAATTCATCAACATTTATGAAGGAAATGAAAGAGGTACCCAAACAAACCCTTTCTTATGTCAAAAATATTCAGTTTTTACACTAGTGATAAATTACCATGTAAGAAAGTATTTTTGCACTGAAACTTATAGGTGACCATACTCCTGTCTGGGAGCTAGAGGGCAGTCAAAGACAGCTTCCTCATTTCTGTGTTAAGAAGAAATGGAAATCAATGTTTCATGGAAAAGCACAATTTGAAAAAGAAAAATAGTGCTATTGGATGAAAAAACTGTGCCTGCATGTTTTTAGATGAAATATATAAAAGGCCTTTAAGTAAACAATGAACTGCACAGTACTATTTTGCATAAAATCTATGTTCCTCTTAGGCTTGATTTTAATATGAAAGACCACTAAATTAGAAGGTTTAAAAAAATCATTATTGACTGAACTTACAGATAAGGAGATCTTTAACTTCCTATTCCAAAGTATGCATTATTTCCTATTTCTGATCTTAGGAACTGTAGGATATGCTTGAGGGCTAAAGGAAGTATTTCTTGGACTATTTGGAAGGAATTATTGGATCAATATACAGTTAGATAATTTTCTGCAGACAAATAAGAGTGAAGTTGGGATTTTGATTGGTATTGCAATGAATTTGTAGGTTGCTTTGGGTAATATTGCCATTTTCATGATGTTAATTTTTCTAGTCCATGAACATGGAAGGTCTATTTCCTTAAGTCTTCTTCAGTTTCCTTCTTTAAATTATTAAAAATTTTACTATAGAAGTCCTTCACATTGTTAGATGATTTCTGAGTATTTTTGAGGTTATCACAAATGGAGTTGATTCCCTCATTTCAGTCTTGATCTCATTGTTGGCATACAGAAAAGCTATTGATTTTTGTGGGTTTATTTGATACCCTATTGCTTTACTATAGATTTGAATCAGTTCTAGTAGCTTAGCAGAGGAGTATATAAGAATCTTGTAAGTATAGAATCATGCCATCTGCAAAAGGGATAATTTTACTTCTTCCTCCCCTATTTGGATCCCATTTATGTTTTTCTCTTACCTTGTTGCTCTTGCTAGGAATTTCAGTACTATATTGAAGAGGAGTGGAAAAAACAGACATTCTTGTCTGGTTCTTGATTTTAGAAGGAAATGGCTTTAGGTTGTTATCATTAAGTATAATGTTGGCTGTAGGTTTGTCACACACAGCCTTTATAATATTGAAGAATGTTCCAGTATTCCTAGCTTCTGCATAGCTTTTATCATAAAAGGATGTTGGATCTAGTCAAAAGCTTTTTCTGCATCTATTGAGATGATCTTGTGGTTCTTAACATTACTTGTGTAGATGTGTTATATTACATTTATTAATTTAAATATGTTCTAACTGAAATATATAGATTCGAGGGAGATCTCAAATAGTGTAATTCCTTAGAAAGTCAAAACCAAAGTTCAACAAAATAAAACACCAGGAATCAGGTACTCAAAAGGAGTGGAGTAGGGTAGAAAGGAAAGTGGTAGATAAATGAATAGGAAGAGAGTGAGAGAATGAGGTCAAGAATCCAATGTATATTCTACAAAATTAAGAAGAGTGAGGGAAAAGATGGGTAGAGGAAGGATAGATGAGAGTATTGAAAAAGATGACAATGATCAAGATATTCATAAACTGCTTTGTTAAACTCTACCTCATTTGTACAACTACTTAAAGATAATAAAGAGGAAAAAACAAATACGGGTGAAAATGTTACTATTTTTCTCAAAGTTTGTATTATACTTACTGCATATTGAATATCTATGGAGAGTAGTATAGTAATATAGTAGGTGCTTTGATTTTTTTAATGCCAGTCCTGGGGCTTTAACTCAGTGCCTGGGTGATGTCCCTAAGCTTTTATGCTCAAGGCCAACATTCTACCACTTGAGCTAGAGCTTCACTTCCAGCTTTGTGGTGATAAATTGGAGGTAAGTTTTATGGACTTTCCTATCAGGGCTGGCTTTGAACCATGATCATCAGATCTCAGCTTCCTGAATAGCTAGGATTGAAGGCATGAGCAACAAGTAGCCGGCCCTTGAGGTATACTTTAAAGTGGTCCTAGCTTTCAAAAATCTTAGTCCCATAGAAAGAGAAAACGTTCATAAAAGTTGCTGTTGTGTAATAAAATAATGTAGGTAAAAATTTACCTTTTGAAAAAGAGGCTAATATTCTTTACAAGGGAAGGAACATTTCTGTCAATTTGATTCTTGGTGTTTGTTGTTCATGGTTTTAAGTTGATTTGTGAAACCAAGGATTAAGACTTGGGGTACATTTCCTAAAAAATTTGGATCCTTCTTTAGTGAATATAGAATAGGGAAGTAAATTTGTGAGATAATCTTACGTATTTTATAACAACGACTATTGTTTAGTAATTTATGAAGAAGAAAATTACCATCTTTGGGCTTTATTTTACCATTTAACTTACAACTTCATTTCACTATCCATAAAGTATCACATTTTAGGATAATGGGTATTTATTGTGTCACCTTATACACACATGTGTGTTTGTTTACATATATATATAGATGTATATATATATATATATATACATGTATATATATATATATATATATACATCTATATAGATAGATAGATAGATAGATATCAGCTTTCCTATCGCAATAAATAGCCCTGTAGTTTTAGAAAGAAAAGCAATGTGTTGTATTAGCTTAGCAGGATTTATTAAAATTTATTTCAGACAAACTAATAGACTGAATTTTCCCCATTTTGTGATACTTGTTTGGTAACAATGAAAAATATTAAAATTGTATTTTTCAGATAGCATATATTCTACATAATGCTAATGACAAATCGCTCATATTAATTGATGAACTTGGCAGAGGTACTAATACAGAAGAAGGTATTGGCATTTGTTATGCTGTTTGTGAATATCTGCTGAGCTTAAAGGTATACATCCCAGTTTATTTTAAGTATATTAAATTTGAGTCCTTTTATAAATATTTTTACAGAAATCAAAAATAGCAACAAAAGGAGAAAAACAAAACCAAAACAAATAAATCACAAAAAGTAAAATAAAAAGTCTTTGTTTACATTTCTTTTTTCTTTTTCTTTTCTTTTTTTTTTTTGTCGGTTGTGGGGTTTGAACATAGTTTGGGCGCTGTCCCTGCGCTCTTCAGCTCAAGGTGAGAGCTCTACCCCGTGAGCCACAGTGCCACTTCCAGTTTTCTAGTGGTTTGTTGGAGATAAGAGTCTCACAGCCTTTCATGCTCAGGCTGGCTTTAAATTGTGATCCTCAGATCTCAGCCTCCTGAGTAACTAGGATTGCAGGCATGAGCCACCAGCACCCGACTTCTTCTTCATTTTGATAAACATCATTTTATATGATCATAATCAAGTAACTATTTTGCTTGTATGATTTTGTCCTAAGAATATCTATTAGTCTCAGTGTGAACATTTAAAGTTCTGTTTATCATGTCCAAGTGTAATTTTTTTGTCTTTTCCCATCCGTTGTATTTACTTGTAAGTTTATAGGCACATTCTCATTACTACAAATGAGGGAAACCGTGCAACCTGTGTTTCTTTGGCTCTGGCTTCTTTCACTTAATATATATATATATATTTTGTATTGTATGTAAGTTTATCTGTTTTGGGGAGGGAAAGGGGAAGCACAGAAATAGTAGGACAAAGTGAATTAACTCATCAGTGATACTCACTAGACTCTATGTTGCAAATGAATCTATACAACTTTGGGGAGGGGGGAGAAGCAGTTTCAAGAGGGAAAACATTATGAGAAAATGGAAGAAGTGACCACTGTTCAAGAAGAAATGTACTCACTACCTTACCCACGTAACTGTAACCTCCCTGTCCATCACCTTTAGAATAAAAATAAGTAGAAGTGAAGAATCATTAGTGTATGTTGTTTACATCAGTTTACTGTCATGAGCTGATTACATGCCATCTCAGTGCATTTTAAAAGGCCAGTACCAAAAGCACTGACCCAAATGACCTAATTACTTCCAAGAAGTCCCATTTCTTCGAGACACTAGCACCTTCCAACATTGCCAAACTGAGGACCTACCTTTCAACAGTTATTCCATAAAAGACACACTCAAATCATACTGAAACTATAGCAAGTACTATTTGAGAATTTTCATTTTTTGTGTTATTTATGAAACCTTTCCTCTGTTTGCTAAGTCTTCCAAAGTAGAGCCATTCTGCCAACCAAACATTCTTCTTTTACTGCCTTAATACTTAATTTCTCCACTAACCTTCTATGTAGTTTTGATTTTTCTTTCTTGGGAAGGCAGTACTAAGTATTGGACTTTGAACTCAGGACCTCATGCTAGGCAGGTGCTCATGCCCTTGAGCTATATCTTTCACTGGTAATCTCTTAAAACATAAAGTCTTTGGGAATTTCACCCTTGGTTTGATTCCCCTCACCACAGAAAAAAAAAAGAAAAACACACAAAACAAACACAAAAGCTTTGGGAACTTCAAATTCCTGAAGGAATCCATTGATTCCACTTTGCAAAAACTACTTAGAGAAGGAAGCTACTTTCAAAGAGAGGTTCTCTTTTTTTGGGGCGGGGACGGTCTGGTCGTGGGGCCTGAACTCTGGGCCTGGGCGCTGTCCCTCAGCTCTTCAGCTCAAGGCTAGCGCTCTACCACTTGAGCCATAGTGCCACTTCTGGCTTTTTCCTTTTTGCTTATGTGGTGCTGGAGGAATCGAACCCAGGGCCTCAGGCATGCAAGGCAAGCACTCTACCACTGAGCCACCTTCCCAGCCCTCTAAGAGAGGTTTTGTAAATATTGAGAGTAATATTAGAATTGTGCATGTAGATTACTTACTTGATAAATGGTTATCTCAGTTAATAACATAATTTTTGGTAAACTTTAGTATATTCAGATCTTTATAAATATGAAAGTAAAAACATAAGGAATATGTCTTCCTTCTTATTATGTAACATGTATGCATGTGTACTTGTATGTATTTCCTCATAGAATATAGAATTTCAAAGTTGGGCACTGGTGGCTCACACCTGTAATCCTAGCTACTCAGGAGGTTGAGATCTGAGGATTGCAGTTCAAAGCCAGCCTGGACAGGAAAGTCTGTAAGACTCATTTCTAATTAACCACCAGAAAACTGGAAGTGACACTGTGGCTTAAGTGGTAGGGTTCTTGCCTTGAGCTGATAGCATCCAGGCCCACAGTTAAAGCCCCATGACCAACAAAAATAAGTAAATAAATAAAATATAAGATTTCAAAACACTTTAAGTAGACTGATCGTTTTAGCCTCCAAGGTATTAGTCTCACTTGACATCTTTGCTAAGTTACTTAGAAAATTTCGCTTAAGTTTTATAGTTAAGTCGTAAAATGAAATTTTCTAGTTCATTTAAACAGAAGTAATATCCATTGTTTATTGTATATTCTAGGCATTTACATTGTTTGCTACACATTTCCTGGAGCTATGTCATATAGATGTCTTGTACCCTAATGTAGAAAACATGCATTTTGAAGTGCAGCATGTAAAGAACACTGCAAGAAACAAAGAAGCAATTTTGTATACCTATAAACTTTCTAAAGGACTTACAGAAGAAAAAAATTATGGTATTGTATATAGAAATTATCTAAACCTTGACACACTGTATATTCTCTTAAAACAAATTTTCTACTTTTTTATTGTCTGTATAGGTAGCTCTTTCTCATTCTGTTAAGTATTTGTGTGTTCTAAGACTGTATCTGATATATCTGACTTACATGTATGTGTTTCTGTATGCACTTAGATAAAACATAACTACCTTAGTTTCCATTCACGTACATTTACATGTATATAAACCAGTAATTTTGAAGAGACACTGAAGCATGAAAGGCATAGGAAGTGGCGTAATGTCTAAGAAATATAGCTTAGTTTATATTTGCAAGTTATATAACAAACAAAAAATTCAGATTCAATGGCAGAGTCTTTCCATTTTTTTCAGTTTCAGGGAATTTGATAATTAAATCTAAAATCTTAAAAGGGAGTATGTTCCCAAATCATATGATATTTTTAAACTTTATTAGATATTTTCTGTGTAAATCATTGTGTGACATATATAATCTGTGATTCATGGAGTTTGTAATTGATCCATGCATATTTTAGCTATGGATGTGACCTTGGTGGCCGAAGCACCTGTGCTATATTGTGTCATTATGCATGAAATAGGATTAGTGATAATTTTTCTTACATGTGGAGTCATCAAATTTGAATGAATTATCAAATGTGAACTTCCTGTCGGTATCTAGCAGTAAGATTTCTTAGTAAATGTTGGTGTTCCTTCTGTTCGTTAAACAATAGCTACAATGAACTATTGAGGCACAGTAGAAAACCTATATGACATTATACAATAGAATTAAGTTCTGAAAACAGGAATAATAGTTGATACTTGAATTTGCATGAAAATAGTCACCTACACTTGTTATCTTATGAGAAATTTCACTTTTATTGATCTGTTGGAACAGCAAGCTGTCAGGTTATCTTTGAAATTACACATTCTCCTCCCCTCAAGCCAATATACCCTTCTACTCTAATAAGCAACTTTATTTATAATTGATTTTATTATTATTATTATTATTGCTCTAATTATCTCTTTTCTTTCCTGTTATCTCTGAGATACAAGATAATTGGTATTCTATTTTCTCCTAGGCAATTAAATGAATTTTTATTTAGAACATTGGAAAACTTAATTTTTCAAATTGCTGAATAGCCCATAAATACTTGTAGAAAGGAAATTTAAATCTGAAGAAAAATGTTAGTTAATATAGAAAAGATAGAAAAACATTGAAATCATTTGTTTATGATTGTAGGATTAAAAGCTGCAGAAGCATCATCACTTCCACCCGAAATTATCTTGGATGCCAGAGAAATCACAACTCAAATTACAAGACAAATTTTGGTAAAATCTATTTTTTAGCAATAAGAATTATTTGCTTTTGAAATAAAATACTTTTAATATATATGTCTTATTGTGGCCATTGATCCAAATATATGTTAATAATTAAAATATGTAATTGATTGGCTGAGTGACAGAGCGCTTGCCTTGCATGCCTGAGGCCCTGAGTTCGATTCCTCAGCCCCACATAAGCAAAAAGAAAAAAGCCAGAAGTGGCGCTGTGGCTCAAGTGGTAGAGTGCTAGCCTTGAGCTGAAGAGCTGAGGGAGAGCACCCGGGCCCAGAGTTCAGGCCCCACGACTAGACCAAAAAAAATAAATAAAATGTGTAATTCTAAGAAAATCCTTTGTACTTCTCCAAACTTTGTTTTATTCAATTGTAATTATTTTTTTTCTAGCAAATCAGTTAGATGAGACAAGATTTTGTTTTATTTTGTCTTTATTTGTGCTAGTCCTGGTGCTTGAACTCTGGGTCCCTCAGCGTTTTTTTGCTCAAGGCTACTAGTCTACCACTTGAGCCACAGCTCCACTTCTGCCTTTTTCTGGTAGTTTCTTGGAGGTAAGAGTCTTCAGGTCTTTTCTGTAGGGCTTGGCTTCAAACTGTGATCCTCAGATCTCAATCCCTTGAGTAGCTAGGATTACAGGCATAAACCACCAGCACCCCCAAGAGACAAGATGTAAACATTTAAGTTCTTTTATCGTTATTTATTTGTCAGTCACAGGGCTTGAATTTAGGGCCTGGGCACTTGTCCCTGAGCTTCTTTGCTTAAGGCTAGTACTCTACCACTATGATCCAGAGCTCCACATGAGCCACAGCTCCACTCTGATTTTCTGATGGTTAATTGGGGATAAGAGTCCTGTGGACTTTCTTACCTGGGCTGGCTTCAAACCAAAATTCTCAGATCTCAAGGAGCAGCTAGGATTACAGGCATGAGCTACCAACAGCTGGCTTAAACAGTTGGGTTCTTACAATGATTATTGCTGGTTAACTTTCTGATGTGAAAATAAATCTATTAAAATAAACATTAAAAATAAGAACCACTGTTATAATATTTTTAATTTTTATAATTTCAGAACTTGTTATTACCATAAGTAAACCTCATAATTCTCCATAATAAGTAATACATAACAAAATTTATTTATTTATTTAGTGCTGGTCCTGGGACATGAGTAGTTTGCGTCGTTTGTTGGAGTTAAATGTCTCATACATAGACTTACCTGCCTGGGCTGTTTTACATATGATCCTTAGATCTCAGCCTTCTGAGTATCTAGGATTACAGGTGTGAGCCATTGGCACCTGGATTCTTGGAATTTGTTTTTAGCTCCTTTTTTCTTTTTTTCACTACTTTATTTTCTCCTTCATTATTTCACTTTCCTTTCTTTGCCACCTACTAAATATAAGTATATTTAAAATGCTTACCATCCTTTCTTTTTAAAAAAATGTGGTCTTGGTGATCTCATTCTTTTTCACAGATTCCATTATCATCACTTCTGCTCAATTCTGAATCTCTCTCACTCTCTTCCTCCCTCTCTATCTAAGCCATATTTACTCTTGATATCTTAATCTGTCTTTTAAATAGAAAATTTAATTATTATTTCCTGAAAAACTCATCTCTTTACTTTTAAGTCTCAGCACTCTACCAGAGTAAAATATGGAATCATTATTTTTAATCATTTCTCATTATGTCTGTGTAATAAATTCTTTTTAATTTATGCATCACACCTTTACCAGGTTGCCTCCTAATACACTGGTCTTGTGTTTTTTACCTACTCAGAAACTTTTCAGTTATTCTTCATTGAATAAAAGTTGAACACCTTAGCTTGGTAGTGTAGTATTAAATCTCCTGTAGTTATTTCCTAAAATTAGGATTACCTTCATTATAATAGTTGTAGGACTGCCTTCATTATAATCACTTGAGATACTAGGTATTGTGCTAGCTTTTCAAATGTCTCCTGTTGCTCAGGAATTTGCATTTTTATTGTTTACTTAGTTATTCTTAATACCAATGCTTGAACTTGGTGCCTCAGCTTGTTCGCTGGGCTAATACTCTACCACTTGAGTCACAGCACTGACTTTGGTTTTTTTGTTGGTTAATTAAAGATAGAATCTCTTACTTTTCTGTAATGGCTGACTTTGAACTGCTATTTTCCTGATGTTAGCCTTCTGAGTGGCTAAAATTACTAATGAGAGCTACCAATGCTCAACCAGAAAGTTGCTTTTTTTTCTTTTGCCGATACTCAGATAATTATAAAGTTTATTAATTTGACTTTAAGATCTTCTCTTTTTTATTGTATTACTTCACTTAGTTTTGCACAATTAGTTTTACACATCTCTTATTGAATCAACTACTTGTCATTTTTATCATTTTGACCTAACAGTATCATTCACTCTAATATGTCTGTTTGAGCTATTTCTGTGCAGATTGCCCTTCCTTATAAGTACTTCTATCAGAATTCATTTCAAATATTCTATTTATTTTAAACTTTTTTGGTGTGAGCTAGAAGAGAACTATTCTTCTGAACATATAGTAATTTTCTGCCATAATCAATTGTTTATTGGCAAGCCTTTATTATAAAAGATAAATGTTTTTGTAGCTCCCATAGGTACATAAGCACAACCTTTGGGACCTGGAACAAGATACCAGATATCCAACAACTGTTGTTGAAATGATTGGTTATTAACCTAATGCATCAAATAGGTACATTTACCCAATGTATCAAATAACCACCAGTTATTCAGTGAGTGAAATATCTTAGTGTACCTCATAAGATCTATAATGAAAATAAAAAATATTTCCAATTCCATGTTGCTGGGAAAGTTGAAGGGGTTATATGTTTTGGAAAACTTTCTAGTCTTACATTCAGGCAAAGATGTGAATGAGATTTTTCCAGCTATATTCCCAACTTGAAGCCCTATTCAAGGAGTGAATGTCTAAGCGTTTTCCACATTCCAATTTTATTATTTCTTAGCTTTCCTTGAGTATAACTTGTTAAGAATTAAGAAATAAATGTAAATTTCAATGTATGTTGTTTATTTTTAAGATGCACTCCTCAGGTAGTATTTTCTTGTAGACTACAACAGTGACTACCCATGTGCTCTCTTTAGGGACAAGCATATCTTCCTGTCTTCCTTTCCTCTTTCCTTTCCTTTTTCCTTTTCTTTCCTTTCCTTTTCCTTTCCTTTCCTGCCCTTTCCTTTCCTTTCCTTCCTCTTTCCTTTCCTCTTTTCTTTTCCTCTTTCCTTTCCCTTTCCCTTTCCTTTCCCTTCCCCTTTCTCCTTTCCCCCTTCCCCTTTTCCCTTTTCCCTTTCCCTCTTTCCCTCTCCCTTTTTCCCCTCTTTCCTTCTTTCCCTCTTTTCCCTCTCCCTTTCCCTTCCCTTTCCCTTTCCTTTCCTTTCCCTTCCCTTTCACTTCCCTTTTCCTTCCCCATCTCTTCCCTCTCCCTTCCCCTTCCCTTTCCCTTCCCTTTCCCTTTCTCTTTCCTTTTCTCCTTTCCCTTTCCTTTTCTCCTTTCCCTTTCCCTTTCTCCTCTCCTCTCCTTTTTTCTTTCTTTCTTTTCTCTTTTTTTCTCTTTCTCCTTCCTTCCTTCCTTCCTTCCTTCCTTCCTTCCTTCCTTCCTTCCTTCCTTCCTTCCTTCCTTCCTTCCTTCCTTCTTTCTTTCTTTTCTTGCTTGCTTATCTTCTTGCTTACTTTCTTTCTCTTTTCTTTTTCTCATGGTGACTGTCGCTCTATCGCTTTAAGCACATGTCTAATCTGGGATTTTGAAGATGGTGTCTCATGGACTTTTCTTCTTGGGTTGTATTTGAAACAAGGTCCTCTGATCTCAGCCTCTTGAGTAGCTAGGATTGCAGATGTGAGCCACTGTTACCCTGTGCTGCAAGCACTTTTTGGATAACTAATTTTGTTTTTCAGTTTATCTTTTGGTTAATTAAAATGGGAAATAGCAGAGTCATATTTTTTAGGGACATTACAGTAAAAATAACTGCATAGTAATGAGAAGTTCTGTTTTCCCACGCCTTTTTTTTTCTGTCGGTTGTGGAGCTTGAACTCAGGGCCTGGGCACTGTCCCTGAGCCTCATTGTGCTCAACACTAGTGTTCTACCACTTGAGCCACAGTGCCACTTCAGGTTTTGGAATTGTTAATTGGAGATAAGAATCTCACAGGGACTTTTCTGCGATGGTTGGCTATGAACCTGGATACTCAGATCTCAGCCTCCTGAGTAGCTAGGATTATAGGCAGGAACCAGCGGTGCCCATTTTCCCATATACCTTTTTAATGACAGTTGTAAAACCTGTTTGATTTTCTTCTGTTTATTTGGTAGCTTGTTGAACAGTTTGACTTATTATTCATTCAGCAAGATCTTTTTTATTGAAAAGTAATTTTCAACGTATCTATCATAAAGTTCTAAGTACTTCTGAGAAATTTTGTTGTCCATTTGTTGTCCAAAAGCATTTTTAGTATAGTATATTATTACTTTTAGCAGTAATTTTTACCAGTTGGACAGAACTGATTTACCTAAAGGAATTAATTCTTGAGTGCCAAATTTCTAAGATAGTACCAAATTTCTAGGATAGGACAGTACCAAACTATGATTAAAAAATCATAATATGTATTATTAACTCATGTATTAACTCATATTAACTCATATTTTACGAACAGCAAAACCATAGGAGTACTCCTGAGATGAAAAGACAGAGAGCTGTGTATCATCTAGCTACTAGACTTGTTCAAACTGCTCGAAATTCTCAGTTGGATCCAGACAGGTTGCGAGTCTATTTAAGTAATCTCAAGAAGAAGTATGAAGAAGATTTTTCCCAGGATGAACAAGTTCCAGAACAGACTGAAGAATAACATATTCAAATAATGAAATAGTATATTTAATATGAAAAACCTAGAATTAATGTATCTCCCGAGAGCAAATACACTTGCTCATTTTGTAATAAAAATAATATGAACTAGAGTTTTCACCTATTTGTTCTACATGAAAAGTAATTGTTATAACTTGCCAAATAACAACTGTTTTTAAAGGATTCTTATGATATAAAAACTGTAATACAACACTTTAACAATTATTTATGATACTTTCCATTGTATTGAGTTTATACTTTCAAATTATTTATACTTTCAAAATATTGTCATAAATATTTTAGTTTAAAAGTCTTATTGAGTGTAGAAACGTGATCTTTGGCTTACATTTTTCTTTGAAGTAGTAATTTGAAGATGATGATGATAACTCATTTTCTTAACTAATATCCCTATATTCCAATCCTAGAGGATTCTCAAGTTCATTAAATGATACTGAGAATTTTTACAGTATTCTTTTTGATACTGTATAGTTTTAAAACATGAAAATAAACAAATCGTTGTTTGGTAATAAAGGCAGTAATTCTGGAAGGGGCAGTCCCACTACTGACCCATTATGTTTTCTGAATATCCAATAGTGCAGTTTGCTTAACTTTTATTTCTTTTTTTCCATCTTTATTAGACAAAAAACAGCAGAAATGTAATGTTGGTATGTTTATATGCATCATTTGATTCATATGGGACATTTTACAGAGCTGTTTTTTAATAACCATGTGAATTATCCTCCCATTGTGTTATAAGTTAGATCCTGTAGTTACAGAGAAAAATCTATTGAATAGGTATTTAAAAAGAGTATTTGCCTTTGAATTCTAATTTCATGAGGTAAATTCACAATGTTAACACTTTTAACATAACATTTTCATTTTGAAGTTATAAAGAAGAATAAAAACAGATTATTTTCTTTTTGTATTATAATGCATATAATTTATTCCACACTGCAGAAGATAATGGGTTGAGTCACCTATAGACTTAAAAATGATTGAGATTTAGGACATGATATAAAAAGACATTTTCTAATGGAATATTTAATACAACAAGAACTTACATGAGATTAATAGTTTATTAACTTCAAAGTCATACAATGGAAAGCATCTTTAAAGAACTTAGAATAAAGATGCATATTAGCTTTCTAAATTCAGGTAGTTCTGTAGACGAACAGGAATTAGAAGTGAAAATATTCCATTTGGGAGCATATTGTTGTTTAATAATTGAGTCCTGATGGTTATTCTGCAAAGATGTAGTAGTTCACATGGATCTTTGTATCTTGTTGAAGGGATATACTCCAACCAATTTGAAATAATTGGACGTCTTCCTAAACTCAGTTGTGTCTGAAAAAAATTACTTTTGTCATGTTAATCATTGGATTAATTCAGATTATTAACATCTTAAATTTAAATTCAGATAACAGGTCTTAAATGTATAAACCCCTTGTAATTTTTTCCAAAGTGTTTCCACTTGATACAAATGTTTTATTTCCATTTTATTCTCATAACGATAAAAGTTTTTGTAATACATATATGGAAACAGCAAAATTATATCTATGACTAGGAAAGTTTTTAATGTTAGATGGATTACACTTCTATTTTATCAGCTTCTCTTTTCAGAAGAGTTATCAAAATTGTCACACAATAGAATTATCTGGGAGACTATAAATGATCAGTGCTCAGGTTCTATTCCAGAAAGTTTGATTCTGTTGGTTTGGGGTTGGACATAGACTGTGTAAATTCTGAAAGTTCCCTAGATGGTTCCCCTGAGTGTAGAGTGAAAGTTAACACACAAAACCTGAGTAAAGTCCTCCCCAAGTATATCTATCTTCAGGATTTTGATAAGGTATATATTTAAGGATTTAGTTTCAGAGGTCAAATGTCAATAGATGGACTTAGATAGAAAGGATATTTCCTTATTACAGAGATAGTTTCCCATTAGAACCTTATACTTCCCAGGTTCTTTGACACTTTTATTGATTTGCTTATATTTGTCTATATTCATTAATTATTCAGCCAACTGTGATATATCCTCAGTATTATGGTAGGTGCTTGGAATAATTACTTAAAAGACCTGGGACTTAGATATAGAAATATCTAAATATGTATTTACAATAAAACATATGTGCTATGGTACAGAAATATGGAAATGCAAAGTGGAGAACAAAGTGTTAATCAATGTAATCTTTTCTACTCAAGCAGGTGATATTGGTCAATTCCATTGTAGTACTTTTCTACTATAGTTCTCCCTTGGGAATAACATTCGTGGAATCTGTTGAAAATTGGTATGTTCTTTAATAATTAAGCAGTCAGGACTAACACGGGCAACAACAAGCAACTGACTGTGCATGCAAAACAGTTTGTTTTATACATAGGTTAATAAAATAAGTTTGCCAATTTATTTATCTTACAATTGGCCCAAGTGTTAAAATTGAGACATTTAAAAAGCAGCAGAGTTATAAATCCCATTAGTGTATTTCGAAAGTTACTCTATTGTTCTGTTGGTAATTTAACTGGTTGAAATTTACAGGAGTAGACAGGCACCAGTGGCATATGCCTGTAAACCTTCCTACTCAGGAGGCTGAGATCTGAGGATCACAGTTTTAAGCCAGCCTGGGCAAAAAAGTCTGTGAGACTCTTCTCACAAATTAACCACCAAAAAGATCTGTGTCTCAATTGGTAGAATGCTAGCCCTGAGCAAACATAGTTTAGGCCCTGAATTCAAGCCCCAGGACTGGCAATCATTAATTTACATCAATTTACAGGAATGTTTCTATTAAGCAGACATTTCTTCCTATGGACAAATATAATTTAGTATTTATAAATACTAAATTAAATTTAGTTAAATTTAGGAACGATGATCATTGACTAATAGAGTTGATTCTTTTCCCTGTACTTGAAGATATCTTCAACTGAATATTTTAAGCCTTCATATTTCTATAATGCTTAAAATTGTCTATTTTAAATAAAAAAATCTATTTCTTAGTATATGCTTATAGTTGTAGAAAGAAACACAATACTCATTTTCTCAGGTTTATAAAATCAAAACTTTGAGGTGATGGACTCATTTAAAATTTAAAATTTTGTCCTAAGAGGCAGAAATCAGTCATACTGATTAACTTGTCATAGATATAACCTAAACATTAAGAATTAACTTTATTTCTGTCTCCACAGTTATATGTTAAAATATGTCAATATTTGAGCCCAAATACAGAGAACAATATTTTGCTTACCTCTATTTCCTTGATTGAAATGGTTGAAAGTACTCTGGAACATAGCATTAAGCATGTTTTGGCATCTTCCTGGATATCAATTAACTCATGATCAACCATTATTCTCACTCTTGAAGGGTACAGCAATATTGTTAAGACAATGTTGATAGGGTTTTTTTCTCTTTCTAAGATCCCATATTGCAGGAGTATTTTTAAGATATTCGACTGTCTTGTCTGAGCTACATAAAGGAGAGGAGTGATGCCACTTAGTGGGCTTGGACAGTATACTGGTGTGAAAGTTCTGGAATCAAGCAAAATAGAAGCTTATTGGCTATATAATTAAATGTGATTAACACTGTAGTGATAGTAATAAATAATAAAAAAGTAAATAATAAAAAAGCAAAAAATAATAATGTAATATTAAATGCAAATAGGCTTAAATTTTAATGTACACTTTCACATATTATATAATTTATGTTTCTATATAACGTGTGTTAAAGAAAATTTTACATTGTATAAATTTAGGCAAAACTAAAGCTTAAAAGTACCACACAGGTAAAATTCCCTTTACCCTTGTAAAAATAAAAAAAATTACAGTACAGGGAGGTATTTTTTCCTTCAGATATAGCTGTTTTGTATTTCTCATCTGATAAACCCATACTGAATAGAAAAGTATTATAAAACTGATTATAAAGCTTGGAAAGTTTAGGCTTGAAGATATTTTATTTCACTTTATTAATAGAATTATGTGATCATTTTGATATCTCCTTATTTTTGTTCTCTATCATATATCACACATGAGCTTGAATAGAGATTGCAAATTAAATGAAAAAGGAATAAATGAAACTATTTCTAGTTTTTTGTGTTAATAAAATTAGAAATGATGTTCATTGGCCTAGAAATATAAATTATGGTGAAAACTATATCAGGTGCCTCAACAAGCAGAATTTTAACTTCTTCCATTAAGAATAAAGTTTGAGGGGCTGGGAAGGTGGCTCAGTGGTAGAGCGCTTGTCTTGCAAGCCTGAGGCCCTGGGTTCGATTCCTCAGCACCACATAAGCAAAAAGAAAAAAGCCGGAAGTGGTGCTGTGGCTCAAGTGATAGAGCGCTAGCCTTTAGCTGAAGAGCTGAGGGACAGTGCCCAGGCCCAGAGTTCAGGCCCCATGACCAGACCCAAAAAGAATAAAATTTGAAATTTCCTCTAGTTAGCCCGTTCTACATGTGAATTTCAAGACCAAGCTGGCCTACAGAGAGAGAATCTATTTCAAAAACAAAACAATCCCTTCTAAAATTATCTTTTTCCTAGAGTGCCATATAATGGCTAGACTTGAAATATTCTCCCCTCCTCATGTAGAAAAGAAAAATTTACTTAAGTTTTTCTAAAGTTATATTGTGTTATACGTTTCACTTAAAATAATCTTTTGTGGTTACTATTTAGTGGGCTATGTAAATGTCAACACAGTATTAGGTCTGACCAAAGGGAATTTTATACTAATAAGACTTAATTTTGCTAGATATGATATGATTTTAGTACTAATCAAAGAGAAATTTGATTAATAATCTTGCCTCTTAGCTTGGCTGACAACTAAAATCTAGTTTGTACAATAGCATGAAAAGTGTTGTATTGGTTTTAAATAACTATGCAGAGTAAGGGGAAGAGAACTTTAAGGCTGCATGTATTGAAATGAGATGGAGAAAGCACTCATAATAGTGTAAACAGTGGGAACTGTTTTGAATCTCCTAGCTGTGTGATCTTGACCAACTCAGTCTCTCAAGCTGTTTTCTCATATA